TAGTTCTCCCGCCACGCGGCACCGGTCGTTGACCTCGACTCGTCCCTTCCGAGACATCATAGTGCCGCCGCCCTGGTTCTTGGATGTACTCCTGCAGCTGGTCTTCTTCTTGTTGTTCTTCAGCCTCGGCGCCTAAACGCTCCTCTTCCTGAAAATTGTTACCCTCTCGTCGACGCTGCAGCACAGCTGAATTGTCAACCTCTCGCTCCTCTGGACTATCTGCCCAATACTGCCTTTCCTGTTCTTCAGTCGCTAAGGCTCGCAACCGTTCTTCCTCTAGGTCTATGCATTGGAAAACAAGTATCGCACAGCACGACGCACTAGCGGCACCATGGCGGACATGGACAAATTTTTGCAGAAGGAAAAATTTGCAAATTTCGCATGCAGTTTTGTGCAAGCAAGAAAATCTGTCATGCAAATGTCCATCCACTTCGCACGAGTACGGTACCTTCGTATATTATGCGTAAGATCGCGCATTTGCTCCTCCTCTTCTTCCCTGTCCCGCCTCTGCAACTCTTCCCGCTCGCCGGAATATCAAGTACAAATATGTCTGGCTCTGGGTCTGCAAATTTGTGATGCTAAAATGTGCATGATGAAAACACTTCCTCATGCAGGACAGCATAGCAAGTCTGCACAACGCTTTATCATACGAACTCCGCATGAGAAACTGCGTTTTTGTAGGACGTGAGAGGCTCCTGCCACTTTTGTTGGTCATGCAGCACAGATTTCACAGGAATGCAAGACCAGCATGACAAGTTCCAACTGTCCAGACCCACACATGATATTTGCATTTGATACGGAACACACGCTTACCACTTCCTCTTGCAACATGTCATTCGCCATAATATCATCTCCCAACAACTGCTCGACGTCCACGCGCTCGTCCGCCCTGTGTCTCCTCTCATCTTCTAGCTCCTGCAAAGCCAGCTGTTCTTGTGCCTCCTCTTCCCGTTGTTGCTGGTGCGCCACCTTCTCTAAAAGCAATTCTTCCCAAGATGAGTAAATTTGATTAAGTGAGTATTTTTTTTCTGAAACGAAAAATCAACGGCCCCAATGGATGGCGCAGAAAGTTGGGCGTCGCAGTTCCTGTTGCGGCGACGGAGCGTCTCCCGATTTGCCAACGGCGTTACCCGACGCGCTGCAGAGTCAGCTCGACACCCGATGTGGTGACGCAGGTCCGTGTAGCAAAATCCATCACGAGACTTTGATCGCGCCTCAATAGCCTGGCCAAGAAGGCGGAACAGGACTGCTGCCTCGTCGTCCACCTGCATCCCTCGCCCGAGTTCTATTCCGAGCTAGTCCATATGAAAATACTCAGCCAATAGTTCCTTGATGCGAGTTGAGTACTACCATGCAGATTGGTAGCAAGACGTTTGGTAAGAGGAATACAGTCATTCTATGTAGCTAGTTCAAATGAATTTACGACGTCCTTCGATTTGCAGCCGACTCTCATCGTGCGAGCAGCGATATAATTTGCGAGGCCGTTTTGATTAGCGATTTGGCATGATTCCCTCTGCGAGGTCGAGTAGAGGCTCTAAGCACTTTAAGCTACACACGAAGACGACAATGCTAGCGAGCAAACCCCTCGGCAGAACCAACACTATGTCGATCATTAGCTACTTGAATAGAAACGACTTACCTGTTTGTGCCCTTCTCTTCCTGTTCCGAGAATCCGTCTGCCTTCCTGCCCTGGTTCCCGAATTCGTCAAGCGTTTTCGTTTTTTTTTTTCTCAATTAAATGAATTTACTCATCTTGGGAATTGCACCACATAACCGTTGTTGCTGGTGCGCCACCTTCTCTAAAAGCAATTCTTCGCTGTGGAGCGCCCGATGAAATAAGGGCGTTGGATTTTTTCAGATTTTCACTTTTTCAAATTTTTAGAACAGGCGCCCTTCTCTTGCTATCAACATCGACCAGCAGAGGAGTACTTCTCCAGCCACCAAACAAGCTAGTGGGCATAAGAGGAAGAAAAAACTGTAGCACCGGCGAGCGCTACACCCTGTCAGGCGTTGACTTTGGAACGCAGCCAACCGGCCAAACAGACGCAACACAAATTTCGAAACAAAGCGCAACATTTACCACCTGACCCCCAGGCCCACCCTTCAACCTCGACTGAGCAGCTTCATCCACATTTGGCAGAATGCTCTGGCTCTAGGCAAAATGGAATGCCTGTGGAGAAGAGCTGGAACAATCTGGCCGGAAATGGAATAATTTTCATGCATCAGCTACCAATCGGGAGGAGCAAAGTTCCAGATTTTTCCAAGTTCTTCCAAAACCAATTCCACAACCTCCTCCAAAAGCGCCAAACTGACAGGCGCGGGGGTGTGGCGGGGGGTGTGGTGGGGGGTGTGGCGGGGGGTGTGGTCAGGTGTGTACCATTTTTCCACCTGTGTTTATGTCGTCGCTTTTGCGCACAGAGAGGCGCTAGTCGGAGATTTTTCTATATGGGGCCCCGTATTAGGTCGGTTGATCTACTCCAATATCCTGAAGATGACACGGACCCACTGAGAAGTCTTGCACTAATCGCCAAGTGCTCCCACCGGCGAGTTCCCTCCGCCGGACATTTCGTTTTTCAAAAGTTCTTTTTTTGAAAAATAGCAAAAAAATCCAAGCAAGTTCCATCACCGGTATAAGTTCCATCCTCTTCCCGTTGTTGCTGGTTCGCCTTATGAATTGCAAAAGTATCGTACTCGTACTAATTGCAGCAACTATGCATGACATTGTCCTTAAAGTAAAACAGCATGACAAAATCCAGCTCTCATGCTGAGGAAATTTGTATTGCAATTACTACGAGTGCGATACTCTTGCACAGGATACGCCTTCTCTAAAAGCAATTCCTTCGCGTGTTCGTCCAAAGAAGATTCTTCTTTTTCATTTCCCCCCTCGTCGCTTTCAACTTCATCATTATTCACCTCGTCGTCCTGCTGCTGCGGTGGATTTATTTCCACGACCTGCTCATGTTGTGCTGGTTCTTTCTCGTCCTGCCCGTTTTCGAGATGATGTCGTGGATCCTCGTTGACATGGAGATCAGCATCATCATCATCATCCGGTGGTTGCTGCGGTCCTCGTCCTTGCTTGTACTGCTGCTCAGAGGAACCACGCCCATGAAAACTACACTCACCCCGAGCAGCAGCTGCTGCGCTGTTGACGCGTCCTAACTGCGGCTCGTGTCGTGGACCAGCATGATCTGGGCGCAGCTCCGCCTCTTTCTCCTCTTCATCTCCGCGAGTACTTCTACCCCCGGAAAGACAACTACCGGGTAGTAGTTCCTGTTTCACACGCTGCTGGGGCAACAGCACGACCCCTTGATCCTCGTCGACGTCGCCTTGTTGCGCTGGCACGGCGATCTCGTCCATACCACCACTCGCGGCTCCCACGCCTCCAGCAGAAGCTGCAGGCACTGCGGAAGAAAGGGAACAAAGAGCTCCTTCCGCTGGTCGTGAAGATGTGTCTAGAAATAAATCATCGTTGATCCTTGTAATGCGAAAGACCTTCTCCAGAATAAGCTTATCTGGCGGCAACCCGGAGGGCTGTGCTGGCTGTGCTCTCTCAGCGGCCTCCATCTCTCCCGCCCTTCGCGCCGCGTCGGTCTTCTGGAAATCGATTTTGAAGGACAGTTTTTCTCCGTCGGTCAGAATTTGCTTCTCCCCACGCATCAGCCTCTTTCGGGTCAGAGCAGTGGTGGGAGTTGTTTTATTCATACTGGTCCGCTGCTCACCTCCTGCCGTACGATTTTTCCCGGCTTGTTCACTCACTAAGACATACGCGGGGTTGCGGCCAAGGTTGTGCAATTCCAGGTGGTAGTCATTTTTGTCCTGTCGTTCACCTCGCACGAGCTTCAGGACGGATTGGACGCCACTCAAATATGCGCAGTTGGAAACACTGTAGTCGCAAGTTGCGTCGCGACCGAAGGTTAGTTCGGGCAGCTTCTCGTCTACAGGAGCAGACGCCTGGTTGTGGTCATTCTTATTTTCTTTTTTGTCGTCGACCGACGTCACAAACAGCTCCTTTTTCCAATTCAGAATCGCCTCCGGGCTCGCTTGCTTGATCTTAGCGATGTTGCACGGTTTCTCAGGCTCCAAAGTGATCACGAACCCGACTTTTCTAGTGCCTGGTTTGTGTCTATTAGTGAGGAGGACCTCGTGGTCCGCAGGAGGGTTTTGAAGATGTGAGGAAGAAAAAGAACTCTTCTGGTGCTGTGCAGCGCCTCCGGTTCTTGTTGATGACACACCTGCGGGGGGATGCTGCTGGTGTTGCTGCTTCTGGTAAACCCTGTTCGCATGATTCATGTTGTTTACGACCCTTTTCTTGTTTGCTCCCGAAGTAGATGATCCGCCCGCACAACTACTACTGCTTCCGCCGGCGCCCTGTCTTGAAGACTTTGGTCCGTTCCCTCCTGCTCTCGGTACAGCGGAGGACCGCATGTGGTCATGATCCAACGAACCGCCAAAACCAAACATCTTTTCACACTGCTTTTAGTCGTTTCTTGCTGTAGTTGCCCCGGATTTCTTCTCAAAAATAAATGCGAGAGGACACCCGATCAAAGAGGACACTAAGGACTTTTTGTTTTTGCCCTAGATCAAGCAGCTGGAAGAACTCCTAAAAAACGCTGAGAAGATGAAGCTACGAAACATTTACTTGTTTTAAAAGTCATGCAACGAAGTCACGGAGCTAGTATTCCAATGAATGAGATGATGAATTTCTCAAGCTCGCCCTGTTGTCAAAAAATTTCTGCCGTGCTGGAAAGCTACTTCTTCGCGCACAGAGCAAAGCATGCGACCTTTTTGCCTTGTCGTTTTCTCTCGGAAAGATTTTTTTTTTTTGTGAATTAAGGTGCAGATGTAATAGTAGGTCGCGCAGGCACATCCCTACTACAGAGATGTAGATCTCTTTTTTTGGAACCGGAATCGAACAGAAAAAACACCAAAAGAGACGTCTCAAGAAGCGCCATGAGGTCCAACAAGACTGGAGAACTCCTGGGATAGCAGTGCGTGAAAAACGCACGAGCTACGGTGCTGCAGCAAAATTTTCATGTTGCTTGGATATGGTGCCATGGTCGCTTGTACTAGGTGTTGATAGAAATTCAAGAATTTGGCGCTTTAGAGGTCAACAAGTAGAGCACGAGTGTTTTGATGTTCAAGATCTTTACTTTCACAAACTATCCTCCTCCTCATCCGTCGTATCTGGGCTCGGCTGCGTCGGAAAGATCAGGCTTATCCTCCGTCCCGTGCTCCTTGGCTGCCCGACAGGATCGCCGGGGAGGTGCTGATCTTCCGGCGACATCGAATAATTTGTATCCTGTTTACTCACGGTCTCCGCATCATGATCGGTCTTACCTTGGCTAATTTTCGTCCCCACGACGACAGCTGTTCTCTCGCGCCCGCCGCTCCACAGGCTATCGTACTCATACACTTCCAAGATTTCTCGCATCACTTTCGTTAGAAGCAGCTCTTCCTCGCTGCCAGGCTGAATCTATCCAGTGCAAAAGTATCGCACTCGTACAAATGCAAGTCTTGCATTACAAATCAGAATCTTGTCTCCAAGCTACAAATTCTATTTGTCATGGTGCTGGGGAAAATTGCAATGCATTTGTACGAGTACGATTACTTTTGCAATGCATAGAACCGCTAGAAAAACCTTTTTCTCCTTCAGATCCCGCCTGGCGAGCTCCAAGCACGCCTTCGCAACCACTTCCGCGGAGTAGAGACACCGAAGATCGGTCCGGAGGGAGTCGTTCGCGTAGGCGATGGCTTTCGTGAGGAGGGCCTGGTTACGTGTGGAGGAAGCAGAAGATCCCGAAGATAATCCTACATTTCTTCGTGGGCTTCGATTGCGAAGATTTGTTCTTTCATCATTGGCGGCCCCTGCCCTGGGTGATGCTGCGGAAGCAGCTGCACCCACAGTTGTTGTGTTAAACAACTCGTAAAGGACGGATTGCGTGTGTGCGTGAGACAGACTTAGGACAGCTGAGGAATTCTTTCCTTCATCTTCTTGCATCGTCATTCCATCGGGAAGTCGTGCTGAACCTACTTCTCCTGCCGGCTTGTTTTCATCATCTTCTCCTTCCCCCACAAGTTGTACTACAGGTTCTCGATTGTAGGAGCAGAATTGGACCAAATCGAACCCTAAAACCCGCAAGACCCGTTTCTCCATCTGCACGAGTTTTTTCGCTTGCAACTGCAAATCGAATTTCTCCGCTTCGTCGGGTGATCCGGCGTTCAACTGGGAAGAAAGTAAAGCGGTAGAAAACTTTATCCTATGTAAAAACGTCCCCACCCCATTGTCAAGAAGGAGAATCGGCTAGACAAGTCCGCAAGTTTTGGCTGTTTCGCATGACAAATTTGGACTCGTAGTGTAGTGCTGATGTTTGAGGTAGTTCAGCAGCATCGCAGATCTAGGTTATCATGCTGATTTCAGCATTACAAATTCCAAAACACGACTAGAAAATGCTTCTCATGGAGGGCTCCGCATGACAAACACTTTGACTTTCAGCATGCAGGTTTGCATTACAACTACGGGGTGGGGACGTTTTTGAATACGATAAACTTCCCCATCAGGAGCTTCAACGAAATCCGGCACTCCTCCGTTTTACACGCGAGAGACAAGGCTGCGATTGCCGTGTACCGGACGTCATGGTCTTGGAACTCGCAGTAGTATATCCTTCGCAAGAGCATCGCACACGTATTGCAGTCACGCATTACAAATTGTTTTCTTAAGGTAAACCCGCATTACAAATTTTCTTTCTCATGCTGAGGAAATTTGTAATGCATTTATACGAGAACGAGTGCGATACTTTTGCAATGCATATAGCAGTAGAAGACCTGAAAAATGTGGCACGCCGTCACCATCACGCGTTGGGGGAAGGATGCTGGGGTTTGCTGGCAGCATTTCTGAATCAGGAAAGCGCCGTAGGAACGGTGCGCCTTGGCGGTCGTCGTCTGGAGAGCAGCTTTTGGGAGGTCTTTGCTGTTGTCGTGGGGTGGACCACTCGGGTCTTTTAGCACAACTTGGGGTGTAGTGGTGGTCATGGCGGGCGAGATAAAATCTCGTTAGTCGGAAAAGCTCTCCACTGAACAGAAGTTGCGCCGACCAGAGCAAGTTGCGCGCTATCGAAAGTTGATGTTTTTGGGTGAGCCGCGCCGCGCAACCACACGGAATTCAATGGTATCCACAATTGCGCCGCTGTTGTCAATGGGCCATGGTGATTGCTTCTCTACTTGAACTTCGACAGGGGGTACATTGACATGATATTCGTATCGAGCACAAAATTGCTGTTGCTCAAACGGTCCTTGAGATCGATGTCTATACGTGCTAAAAAAGGCGAAACGTGTCTTGCTCAATTGAAACTGTCTCTTCGTGGTTCTCTTTACCTTTCGCTGTTAGAATCTGACGCAAAGAAGAATGATCATGATTACACACAGGTCTCTCAAAAAGCAAAAACCAGCTGCTGCACGTGGGTAAAAAAGTTGGCCTCCCTGCATTCTTGTTCGCTCGGTGATTTTCTCAGAAGCAAGATCCACCAAAACAACGGATGGTCATCAACAAGGAACTTGCATTGGCGCGCTTTTAATTTGCGAACTGAAACTGCTGAGGACTCGTCCACCTGAAAGAAAATGGAAGAGGGCTCTGAACAAAGGGCTAGAAAGTATTAACTCACGGACATTTAAGATTTGATCGTCATTCCAGAACCTAGAACATCTTGAGCGCCGTGTCCGTCTTTATCTTTAATTCACAAACCGATGATTGCCACTAAACCCGCGTGACGAGATGCGGGAGCTGCAGGTTGCAACACTTGCGCTGGTGATTCGCAACCATGCGACTACATCGTGAACACCACAATATCGTTCTCGAACCGAAATCAGCGAAACCAGACTCCTGGTCCACGAGGCAACCACAGCCAGAGCCATCACACGCGACGATGAGAATCGTTGCGCGCGAGTGGTTCTCTTTCTTTTTTTTTTTAGAAGGTAACAGCCGGCATAAAAGGAAAAAGCAAAGTCTTCAATCTTGGGTGTCAATGTGTGCTTTGAATACGTGCATCACAAGTCACAATTTTCTCTCCTATCATCAGCAATTCTTCGGCTAAGAAAGTCTAAAACCGAATGGTCTTATTCGTGCGGCAGAGAATGTCATAAAAGCGTTCAGAATCTCGGCTTGACAGCAAGTGTCATTTCATCGTTCCAGATCTAAATTCGAAAACTTCAACTTGTGACTTAGATGCTAGTGATTCAAAAAAACGCGTGAGGGTGATATCAAAAACCATACTTCTTCCTCTCTCTCTCTTGTTTCGAATTCCGAATTCAGTCAAAACCAAGCACATGTTGCTGCAAGATGATGCTTGCAACAGCACACGTCGGCTTACGACTATACTTGTTCAGATGAATATTCTCACATCGTAAGTAGTTTTCTCTCCGAAAAATTTTAGAAAAGTTGTCACGAGATCACAAAGTGAAGCTCGTGTTTTTCTAAATCATCTCAGTACCACCTACCCAAATTACTCGTCGGACCGGGACTTGCGCTCTAACAGGGCCTTGCGATCCTTGTCGAGCTTGTATGAGATTGCACAACTCCCCCTCCCCCTCATTTGTATGGTACGAGCAGCAATACAGACACCAGCTCAAATGGAGCCTGCGCACGACAAATATACACACGAATTGTAGTGCTGTTCGTGGTTCCAAAATTTGTCATGCTCGCTGTTCTTGCAGACAAGATGTGGATTTGGGCTTTCGCATCACAAATGAGGGGGAGGGAGAATTGTGCACTCTCATAGCTTGATCTTGGTGATCATCACCTTGGATGGCTGCACCGGGACGTTGGTGGACTGTCCGTTAACCTTGTCACGGGGACTATGCATGGTAAAAATCTTTTGCTTGTGACATCGGCTTGTTGTTGTGCTGTCGAGGACAATTCGATACTAGTCTGTATCGCATACCCATATACTCTCGGCATACAAAGCAACGGCCTTCTTCTCGTGCCAAGACTTTATTTCATCCCTCTTTGGACCTAAAACTCACGCTTTGAAATGTGGTTCTGTTAAAAAAATCTTCAAAAAAAGCCATTCTTGGCATGAGAGATGACCACCACACCGACGCTGAAGGTGAAACGTATGCAAAAATCCACCTTGACTCTCGAATTATGACAAAAAGTTATCCTCGACATCAACAGCATGACAAAGAAGAACAAAAGCAGAAGATTTTCCTTTTTCGTAAGACACCCGCTCGACGTGGATCATCCACTTCTTGCGGAAGACGCCGGTCACCTTGCCCTCACGCTTCTCGGCGCGGCCACGCTTGATGATCACCTCGTCATCCTTGCGGATAGGGAGGGAGCGGACCTTGTACTTCTGCTGCAGCTCCTTGGACAGCGGAGCGGACATCATCACACGGCGCTTGTGGGACGGGGCGTTGAAGTGGGCCTTGCGGCACTTGCGGCGGGAAGAAGTCACGTTGGAGAATTTCATCTTTTGATTTCTGGTTTTTTTCGAGAAAGCCGGCTAAAGCTTTTCAAATGAAAGAACTTCTATGTTACCCAGAAAGGTCCCTGTTTTCGTTGTGGAGTTGTGTCAGAAGAATTTTGTCGTGTGGGATTGGAACAGAACTGTAAGGTGGCAAGAAAATCTGATGCGTCGATCTTTAAATTTAAAGATCTGATGATGATGTGTCGAGATCATAAAACAGGACGAGGATCCATGTTTCTCGAAATAACTCTGATCCAATTAGCGATTTTCGCAAGTTTTTAGAAGCTTACTCAGGATCACATGTATTGTTCCGCTTCTTGTAGATCTGCTTGTTTTTGTCAAGGCGAATTCCGATTTTTTTTTTCCGTATGCGTATCTGCTTTCCTTTGTGCGAAATCAGTTGGATAAGAGGATCAATTGCTCCATGGTTGCCAATAATCCGGACTCGTGAATTTAAAGAGCTTTTTTCCTACCCGGTGGACGAGGTACTATTCGGACCACGAAAATTTTCACAATGTTTTTCAGAGCCGAGTGTAGCCTTCGCAAAGTCCACCTCAACTTACAACAGATCATTCGTTTTCGTAGTCTGTCATCGATATGGAGACAACAGAACTTTTTGATCCGCATTTTCTAGCGAGGTTCGAACCACTGGGATCAGGAAGATTCTCGATTTTGAGAGGCACTGAAGGATCCGTAAAACGACCTGCGAAAAGCATTTCAATTTAGATGGAAGAGCAGCGAATCGCGCATTTGCCTTTATTGGCACTCTAATTTCCAGAAAGAACTACTACTCGACCATCTGCACAGCCAGAACACTTGGCATCGCTTCTTCGCCCCATCGCCGCTTCAACAACAAATCCGCTACTCAGTCGTGATATTTTGAAGAATCATGATATAGGCTTTTATTCCCACCTGCTGTAGTGACTCTAGACGCCTAAAAAATTTTACATCTGGTCCTCGTGGGCCGTCATGTATAATAAGGAGGCAATCTTTTGCCTACCAGGCACTAAGTTGCACTGATTGTTGCAATACCTTGTTCCAAAACTTGTCTTATCTTGGTCGCCGTGATGGGCCGCTCTCACGTGTCACGTCGTTTAAGTAGTACAGGATTTACCTAGAGCTTTACGAGCCTCAGGACACACATTGACATTGCTTCCAAGAAAGATTGTTTCTGCACTTTTTGACACTACTTCATCAATTTGTTTTGATTGTACACGTAGGAAGCATAATCTTCGAGTTAAAGAATGAAAACAGTACCATCGCATCATATGGGTTCTCGTCAAGTGCTGTAAAAAGAAGAAGCAACTGCATCTACGACTAGTCACCAGCACCATGAAGACATCGCTTTCACTACTCAAGAGAGTGCAACTTTAAGCTTACCAGCACGACCAAGTTGTAGTCGACGTGCTGCCTCCGCTCCAACCAGCTCCAGCTGACGCAATTTTACACTATCTAACCGTCGCACACCTCCTTCACCTCGCTCTCCGCATTGGCAAAAATCAAAAGACCCTTCCTTGGCCCCCGACCGTCCGGTGCGGCGTGGTAATGCTGTCTTACTCCCACGGCCTGTGGCGGAAAAATACACAAAGTTTCCGGTGTATCAAATGTAAAAGTGTCTGGGTCTGGAGAAATGCAACTTGTCATGCTAAATCTGAAACTGAAGCATGCAAAAATCTGTGCTGCGTGATTCCCACAAGTTGTCCAGTTTCGACCAAGTCGGGGGGGAGTTTCTCATTCTCACGAAGGATAGGTATGAGAGAGATCGCACAGAATCTGTCGCGCTAGGTCCTGCATTCCAGACCTCATGGGTCACGGAAAAGCTGCATGACAAGTCGCGCACTCTTCCAGACCCAGACATTTTTGCATGTGATACGGTGGGCAGGGCTTTAAATTCGTTTCCTCCATCAATTTAGAAAAGGCTATGCATTCTCTTTGTCGGACTCCGGGATAATAGCATTGGCCCCTTTAGATGGTGGTTGTGGTTCTTTCTTTCCATCTCGCTGTGTGGCCTTCGTCCCTCGCTTCCCGAACAGGCTTTGGTCTAAAGTCAGTTGCGAGGCAGCCTCGTCCACGCCGGCTTCGTCTTCATTCCCCGCTGCATAGGACCCTCGCTGACTTTGCTGCTTTCCACGCTTCCATTCGTCGAACTGGTTACTCACTCTACGTAGCTCCTGGTACTGGCGATCGAACGAAGCTCCTGCTTCACGTTCATCATGATCCTCTCCAAATCTGACAAGCGGCCCAGACAGTGTCGTGTGCGGAATACTGCCACAAGAAAGTTCCGGAGCTTCTAGAGATACAACCGCTACCAAAGTATCGGCTGCACAGTAGTCGTTTCCCAGCGGTGGCTGAGCGGCAGTGCAAACTTTGTAGCCGTGTACCGAGGCCGGCGGGTAAAGAGAGCCCGGTGGCGGTGGGGGGCTAAACTGATCTCCTATCTCGTCCACCGTATGGAAGCGTCAGGTTTGAAATAATCGCCAAAGTTGAAATAATTTGCAATGCATAAAATGCATGCCCCGAGGTGCGTGTGTTGCAGATCAGGCAAGTGAGGCCGATCGTAAGCCTGTTTGGGGTTACAGCTCGAGCTGCTAAAGTAGCATGAGAAAATCACTCTTCTTTGCCTGAACAGCATGACAAACTGGATTTAGGGACCGCCGAAATTTGTCATGCGCCACTTGAAAACTGGGTTCCAACTGGCGTCCGTTTTATGCATGGCAAATCATTTCAACTTTGTCGATTTCAACTCTGACACATCCATACACCGCGCGGACCGTGTATACGCGCGCCTCACCCTCCACGTCCTCTTTCGCATTTGCCAGTTTCACTCCGGCGCGCCGGAAAATATTTCGGATCGTGTTGGCTTCGGCCTCGAAAAGATGCGTGCCGTTTATCCAGGGGTCCATACGCCGGCTGAGCGATTTTACTTCCTCCTTCGTTAGCTTGATATGCACTTCATTCTTTTCCGGAATGTATCCCGGCAGCTTTTCAAACTTGGCCTGCTGTGCGCTTGCAGCTGCAGTCTTTAAAAAACCCAATCTCGGCGATTTCCAAGGAAGATGTTGAAGCTGAAGATCTTGCGCAGAAATTAGCCGGCTCTAAAGTCGCTTTGCCGTGGTTCGGGTCGATGACGGCTTTGGCATGACAGACCCTTAGCGGTTCGATTTTTTCCCCTCCGGTTTCTTTTTGTCGATCATTTCTGCACGCGGATCGGACATCTGCGCCGAACGGCACACTGACCACGCACGGGTCTGTGTAAGGAAAAGCATTGCAGGTCTGCTCCCGAGCCAGTGGCTCAGTACCACCTTCGCTCCAGCGCGACGCGTCTGCCGGCGCTTGTCCGAGGCCGGCCGGGGTCGTTCCGACTACGGGCGAAGAATTCCCGATCAAAGCCGCTAACCCCGTAGTTGCAGCCGCCAACCCCATCGTGGCAGCCGCCACGGTTCCGATCTTTTTGCAACGCTGGGGACGAGGAGTTGCCGCAGGCTCCTGTGAAGCAGGGGAAGAACGTGGTCTGGACAACACCGATTGGTCCTTTTTGGATGTTGATCCGGGCGGAGGACCCGAAGACTCCTCGTCCTTGTTCGTGCGTTTCAACGTCCGCGCTGAGGCAGCTGGAGTCATGGCCAGCGCAAAAGCAGCATTACTGGGGCCGATAGTTGTACCCCAGAAACTGCCGAGCAAAGATCCCAGTACGAACAGGAGGAAGCGACCGAAACCTCCAGCAGGAGTGCACGACAGCATGACTCTACTTCCGCTGCGCATTTTCGTATCCACTGAAAAATTGCACAGAAAAAATTTACGTACTGTTTTTTGCTTCCACCACTTGTAAGTGCCGTCGAATAAGCTACTTAGCTCAATGAGGTCGTCGTCACTAGATGCCTTGCACGACTTCCACACTAAAAGATTGATTGAAAAGGTCAAGATTCTTTTACAAAGAACAAACTCTCGTGCCTCGGTTAAATGCGCTGTAAACGAGTTTTTTGAATTTGATGATAAGTTTAGCTTTGACTTCGGTAGAACCTTTATTACGCTGGGGAATGCATGGAAATAACATTTGCGTACGACATTGTTGAAGTGCAATCTCGTCACAGAAACAGAATGTACTAGAATATCGAATCCGAAACAACTTTTTCCTTGCTATCATGATTGCAAGAACCTTTTGCGATGGTCTTCACAGGTGGATCCGTCATCGTGCTCGTTTTTCCTTCTTTACTGCTCTGTCACCGTGAATATTTTTCGGGAAAATATGGAAAGCTGTACTAGCACGACCAAGGTTCATTCTCGTCCAGAGATGATCTTTGATTCACTTCTGTAGCTGATCCCTCCTGCATTGGATGCTCACGTGGTTCGACTCCAGAACATTTTCACTTCTTCATCAAAACGGCGACGGGGACGGACGGTCGTGGAGGTCGGAATTTGCACAAAATTGCTTCTCGTCTTATCCAAAATTTCTTCCACCGGGATTCTTTTTGTTGATGTATAAGGGGTTCGTTGACGTCGGGCTGCACCTGCAAGGAATTGTAATTCCTCGAAAGGCAGCCACTGCGTCGCTCTGCAAGTTGTACGGCAGTTTTTGGCCTCGTACGTGATTGATCTGCTCTAGTAACATTCACTGTAGTGCACGTCGTGCTCCAGTTGTACGACAGTGTACACGTGGTATAAGTCTGGACTCATACATAATTCCGTAGGCGTAGCTCATCATTCGCACTAATCTGTTCCTTCTGCTACACCTGATTCCCTAGCTCACCTTGTTCCGCATCAATCTGTTTCTTCTACGCTTTCATTCATTTTCATTGACATTGTACACGTGGTGCTATGATTCAATCCGGGCTCCAGACAATGCCTGAAACAGGAACAAAAGTAACTTTTTCCAACAATAAACTTGCGTGGAGGTATAGAAGTCGAAGGTACGACACAGCCAAAAGCGGTAAACGGTTGCAGACGAATAGAATTTTTTACTGACTTTGAGATTGCTTCCCAACTACACCTCGCGGTAGTGGTCTACCTTCCACGACCCTCTACCTCTTGACGACGAAGGGTTCTTGCTCCTACAAGGCTATAAGTATATCCGATTCTGTTTTAGAAGATCCTGAAGTTGAATGTGAATCCCAAATCACGTATAAAAATCGCTGACCCGCTGGTGCTCGCCTCTCGCGAAAAACTCCAATTGTGTGTCTGCTCGCTTCTTTACGCGAGTGAGTGGGCCCTGTTCTTGTACGTGTTTAGGCCTTTCGCGAGAACCAAAAAACCCTTCCGCGGCCCATATTGTGGAGGTGCTGCGTGGTAATGCTCCGACGTCCCTTCTGCCTGGGGCGGGAAAATGCACAAGGTCTCTGCGGGACAGGGCTTCAGGATGGTATGGAGGTATGCAAAACATTATATCGTGCTTTGCTAGTAATAATCTCGATCTAGTTCGTAGAAGTACACTGCAAGATGACAATTTTTGTCTTTTTGAGATGAAAACCGATGTAAATCTGACAGCATGCGGATGTGAATATGAAGAGAGCAGAGATGAAGATGTAATGTTGCAGCGCACCTTCGTCGCTACATCCACGTCGGACGAGCAGCAGCACGATAGTAAGTACTTTTGCAGAGCATAGTTGGTTTCCTGGATCAGTTCCGAAAATGCGGCGCACTTTTTCCTATCGGCCTCTTTCTCCATTTCCTCCGGTCGCTGAGTGGAATTTGTCCCTTCTTCTTTTCCGAACTGGGTCATGATATCGTCCAATTCACTTATTGCACGGTTCACTATCGCCACTGCCTGGCGTTGCCTTTGTAAAAATGGCACGTCGGAAGATGAGGCAGCGCCGTCTTTATAATTCCGGTCGAGCAGTGGGCCCGACAGCGTTGCGTGCGGAATGCCCTCAGGGTGGAATTCGTTTCCCTTTGGGAGCATATCGGGCCCCGCACAAGCATAGCCGGGGGCTTCAAGCGACACGACAGCCACGAGCGGGTCCGGCACGGCTAGGCACTGGTCTTTACCTTGTGCAGGATCGGCATAAATGCATGACCCGGAGCTCGGGCTACCTATGTTGGAACCGTGGAACGGCTGCCGCGGTGGGTAGAACGGCCCGGCGGGGCGCGCTAATCCCCAATCACGCGCTTGTTTGGGGTTGAGTTCATAAACGCGACGGAGATGAAAATACGCCCCCGCGGTTTTGTTGCCGGGATGAAAAGAATTAATATCCTCGTCCCCTGCATCGGCAACCCGCACGCCGGCGCGCTCGAAAAGCTTTCGCACCGTCTCCACCTCGGACTCAATTTCTTCTCTCGTCATGATCTTTACGCGATCGCGACCCGTCCCGGTGCGCGCGGGGCTCCTGCTTAGGGCCTCGACCTCCTGTTTCGTCACCTTAACGTGGACCTCGTTCTTCGGCCTGATATACCCCGGTAGCCGCTCAAACTTCGCCTGCTCAGACGCCGCAGTGGAGGCGTCTCGGAAAAACCCAATGGCCGCTGTTTCCAACGGAGAACCGCTGTAAGAGCTCCCGTCCTCTTGTAGAACCGATCTCGCTACAGTCGCTTTCCCCCGGTTCGCATCCATGACGGCCCCTTTCTTGCACACGCTGCGTGCGTTTCGTACGGCTTCTTTTTGTGCGTGTTGAAAACATATCAAATGCAAAAGTGTCTGGGTCTGGAAGAATGCAACTTGTCATGCTAAATCTGAAGCATGCAAAAATCTGTGTTGCATGATTACCAAAAGTGGTCCAGTTTATCTGACCAAGTCGGGAGGGAGTTTCTCATGCAGGATAGGAATGAGAGAGATCGCACAGAGTCTGTCATGCTAGGTCCTGCATTCCAGACCTCATGGGTCATGGAAAAGCTGCATGACAAAGCGCGCATGCTTCCATACCCAGACATATTTGCATTCGATAAAACATTTCGGCTCGGGCTGCACCAGGTGGGTTCTTTCAGTGGGCTGCACTATGGATCTGTCAGGATTGAAATCGACAAAGTTGAAATAACTTGTAATGCATAAAATCCATACCAGTTAGAAGCCCAATTTTCAAGCGGTGCATGACAAGTTTGGGTAGAGCCGAAATCCAGTTTATAATGCTGTTTGGGTAAGGAAGACGCCTTTTGTCATGCTACTTTAGCAGCTGTATTTCTACCCCGCGACAGGCTTACAATCTGCCTCCCTTGCCTACTCTGCAAGACAGGCACTTTGTGGGTTGCATTTTATGCATGGCAAACTATTTCAACTTTGACGATTTCAATCCTGACACTCCCATATCCACCAGGCAGGGATCAAGATAGAAGTGTGAAGGACCACCATCGCCTTCGGCTGTTGTACTAATATCTTCGCACACGAGTACTTTTGGACAAGATTTGTCAGCAGCGTCCTCATATGCATTGCAAAAGTAAGGTAATGCATTCGTGTAAATGCATTACAAATTTCCTGCTCAGCATGAGAAATAAAATTTGTTATGCGGATTTACCTTGAATTGAATTGAAGTAGCGACGCCCCCTGACGTGCCTCGGTAGCCGATCGCTCTACCAACCGGAGGTGCTAATTACATGCTTACTTCTTCGTTCGTCGAGCACCTTATTCCGCCATACAAGCCGGCTGGTGAGCAATTACCCGGACTGCCGGCCCAATTTGTGCCGGTTTTGGTGTTTTAGGGAGATACCAAGATTTTGTTTTATTTTATCACTAGATTTAGATGAAATAAAACCTCGTCGCGTACAACTGCGCCCATTGAGGACGCAGCTGCCCCACGGCAAAAATTACTCCTTCGCCCTCCCCTGTCCTAGTATTCATTAGTCGACAAATTTCATACTTGTTTTGTCGACCAAATCACCAGCACTCATCCGCATTCCCCGCTTGATCTGCGTGCATAGTTCCAAAGTCGCGCTGATCCGCGCTTGGTCCCCGCTGGCAAAGGCCACGCGCAAAAGCTCCGCGTTGTTTTTTTCTACTTCCAGCACCCTTTCCGTCCGAATGCGCTTCAGCTCTTCGTTGAAACAATGCAGCCGCCGTTCAAATAACTTCATGGCCTGTTCCCACACGTTTTGCTGACAGGTATACCCCCGCCGGTAAAACTCCAGCCAGGACTGCGCCATGGGCCCGTGGTATTGTTGCTGCTGCAGAAGCTCCTGCCCAGGCTGCACCACCTGGTGCACCAGAGCCGGCTGCTGACCTTGCTGGTGAAGAGGATCTGGGTGAAGGTTGTGCGGTCCGCCCTGCGTAGAAGTAGGGGATCCGGAGGAAGTAGTCGAAGCTGTAGTCCTAGTTGTCACACATAAAGCCAGCAGTTGCTGTTGCATGCACGACACCGATGCAACAAGGGTAGTACCAGCCTGTTCAACATGTTTTGCACCTCCTCCTTTACGGCTTCTTTTTGTGCGTGTTGAAAACATTTCGGCTCGGGCTGCACCAGGTGGGTTCTTTCTGTGGGCTGCTGCACCAGGCGGGGATTAATATAGTGTGAAGGACCATCATCTTCGGCTGTTGTACTCATATCTTCGCACACGAGTTGTATCAAATATAAAAATGTCTGGGTCTGGAAGATTAGAACTTGTCATGCTAAATCCGAATGATGCAAAAATCTGTGTTGCGTGAGTACCAAAAGCTGTCCGCTTTTGACCAAGTTGAGAGGGAGTTTCTCATGCAGGAAAGGCATGATAGAGACCTCAAAAAATCTGTCACGCTGGGTCTCGCATTCCAGACCTCATGGGTCATGGAAAACCTGCATCACAAATCTTGCATTCTTCCAGACCCAGACATTTTTACATTTGATAAGTTGTACTTTTGGACAAGATTTGTCAGCAGCGTCCTCAGCGGCAGCGAGGTCTCGTGGATGCGGGACACTTAGAACGCACGGGCCACTAGTTGTACTCTGTAGAGCTACTTTATTCATCGTCCCTGCAGAAATGTAGTACAACCCTGCTCCGCCGATCGCCGCAGCCAGCAACGTGGCTTTTTTTCCGATTGTTCCGAAGAGCCGCGTGGACATTTTATTGCTGGGGGTGACTTCGGAGGAGCCTTCAACATCCTTAGATGAACCCCGCCGTGGTCCACGACTAGAAATAGATGCTGACGCAGTTTTGTTTTCCCCTCGAGCAGGTGGTGGCTGCAACGAAGAAGAAGAAGTGCGCGACGACGAGGACGCCAGGATCGGTTCGCCACTCTTTGAAGATGATGTTGCAGCTCCGCGATTGGAAGTAGGGCGCCCTTGCCCTACCATGAACGGTCTGAAGTTGTTCGAGCGTCCTGTCGCTTCTGAGGGCATCATCAACCCAAAAGCCGCAGTGATGGTACAACTCCCGAAAAAACTACTGCCCGAGATAAATTGTCCGAATGTTAGTAGCCGTAGAAGCCGACGCGAGCCGGAAAAGGGCGGGGGCAAGGACTGCAACATCTTCTTCCTATAACTTTCGCTATGAGATGAATCGTCCAAGATTATAAACAGGAGTTGATGTTGATACACTTACAAATCGAGGAGGTTATCAAAACCAAAAGGTAAGGTAAACACACGGCTGCCACCTGCCAGTCTGTGTTGTATATTTCAGATAATAGTATAGTCGTGCTTAATACGCTTGTTTGGTTTGCGAATTGACTTTGGTGCTCATCAACAGCATTTGATATTTGCAGGCGATGAACATCAAATGCTTAAATGGAACTATAGCGTACTTGCTAGCAACAACAACAGGTATACAATCAATATTTGCGTCGTTGTACAATTTACCTCGCGCCACCGCGAGCGCAGAATTTACAAAAATATCGAAGCCGTATCCGACACAACTAACAACTTTTCTTGTCATTGCAAGAACCATTTGCGGGGATCTTCGCTGGCCCTCGTGGATCGGTCGTTACAAATCGTGATCGTTTTTACTTTGCCGTTCTGTCACCATGGGGATAGGAGGAAATAAAATGGAGCGCTGCACTAGCACTAGCACGACCAAGAAGCATATATAATTCTCAAGAACCCACGATGATCCTTTTCTCGTCCTCTTCCCTAGTTGATCATCCCTGTATTGGGTCATGCCTAAGTGGTTCGACCCAAGAACAAAATCTTCTCTTCATCCAAGCGGCGACGGTCGTGTTGAAAGCCTTTCTTATTCTTTCCGCGCCAGGGCTGGTAGCACAAAGCTCCTTCTCGTCTTATCCCAAATTTGTTCCCGTTTTTTTTTGTTGCTGAAATGGAATTACTTTGGCATGCAAATGCAATTTTGCAATGAAATCTTTTTGTTGTTGAAGATATAGAAAATGCAATTTTGTTGTTGATACATAAAAAGGAGGCTCACATCTGGCAGGAAGAAATTGTTCCTCGAAAGGCAGCCACTGCGCTGTTCTGCAAGTTGTACGGCAGTCTGGCTTTGGCCTGGTACGTGATTCCGTAGCTTATTCGCATTAATCTGCTCTACTAACATTCATTGCACCCGGACGTGGTGCTCTAGAGTTGGACCTGCTGGATGCCGATCAAATAACTATCGTGGACCTGCTGCTCGCTTCTCGCGAAAACCAGAAAACCCATCCTCGGCCCATATTCTGGAGGTGCTGCGTGGTAATGCTCCAAGGTCCCTTTTGCCTGGGGCGGGAAAATGCACAATGTTTCCGGGGGACAGGGCTTCAGGATGGTATGGTGTGCAAAAAAGTCGTGCTTTCTTCGACCATGAGAGTGTCGGTGACTATACAATACATTAGACCACTTTTTTTTGAGAGATCAACCAGTGGAAATCTGTTAGCACGCAGACGTGAATGAGAGCATAGACTTTGTAGTCATGCAATACTGCGATTTCTAATTCTAATTCTATCTAAATCACACGACAACCGGAACCGGGCAGCACGATAATAAAAAGTACTACTTTTGCAGTGGATAGTTGGTTTCCTGCATCAGTTTCGACAATGCGGCGCACTTTTTCCTATCGGCTTCTTTCCGCATATCCTCCGCTCGCTGATTGTAATTTTTTCCTTTTTCTTTTCGAACCAGGCTCAGATCCAAAGGCAGTAGGTCCTCCCACGTAAAAAGAGGCTCTGGTGGCTTTTCTCGAATCAATTCACCCATCACACGTTCTACTCGCGCCAGCTCCTGGCGTTGCCGCTTTAGAAGATGTTGCGCCACGTCCAGCTCAGAAGATGAAGATGAGCCAGCAGACTCTACTTTCCGGTCGATAACCGGGCCCGACAGCGTTGCTTGTGGAAACCCCCCGTCGTGGTATTCGTTTCCCTCCGGGAGCATATCGGGCCCCGCGCAGGCAAAGCCGGGGGCTTCAAGAGAAATGACAGCCACGAGCTCGTCTTGCACGGTTCTTACGCACTTTGTCCCGTCATCATGATCCACGTCGCACAAGCTAGGGCCACTTACCCCGGAACTGTGAAACCACTCCGGTGGGTAGAAAGGCCCGGCGGCGGGTAGTGACGACGTTGACCAGAAGGGCGATTCGCGATTGTATTCCTCCACGGCTCGCAGAAAATAAGCCCTCGCCGCGCCGGAGATGTCATCCCCCGCATCGGCAAGCCGCACGCCGGCGCGCTCGAAAAGCTTTCGCACAGTCTCCGCTTCGGACTCGAGTACATGTATCAGCTACAAAAGTATGTAATATTGCACTCGTAGGAAATGAATTTTTTGCAGTCATATGCATGACAAATCCGACTTTCACTTTCGACCTGAACTGGCATTTTTACAAATTGCGTTTTTGTTCTTGACAAAATTTCATACGAGTACGGCACTACTATAAGTCTATATACTTTTATTTGCAATGCATAAAATGCCTGGAGGCCCATGCCATCCCGGAGCCCATGCGCCCGCCGGCGCTCAGGGACTCGACTTCCTGCTTCGTCAGCTTACCGTGGACCTCGTTCTTCGGCTCATTATACCCCGGTAGCCGCTCAAACTTCGCCTGCTCAGACGCCGCAGTGGAGGCGTCCCGGAAAAACCCAATGGCCGCCGTTTCCAACGGACCGCTGTGAGAGCTCCCGTCATCTTCGAGTAGAACCGATCTCGCTACAGTCGCTTTCCCGCGGTTCGCATCCATGACGGCCCCTTTCTTGCACACTCTGCGTGCGTTTCGTACGGCTTCTTTTTGTGCGTGTTGAAAACATTTCGGCTCGGGCTGCACCAGGTGGGTTCTTTCTGTGGGCTGCTGCACCAGGCGGGGATTAATATAGTGTGAAGGACCATCATCTTCGGCTGTTGTACTCATATCTTCGCACACGAGTTGTATCAAATATAAAAATGTCTGGGTCTGGAAGATTAGAACTTGTCATGCTAAATCCGAATGATGCAAAAATCTGTGTTGCGTGAGTACCAAAAGCTGTCCGCTTTTGACCAAGTTGAGAGGGAGTTTCTCATGCAGGAAAGGCATGATAGAGACCTCAAAAAATCTGTCACGCTGGGTCTCGCATTCCAGACCTCATGGGTCATGGAAAACCTGCATCACAAATCTTGCATTCTTCCAGACCCAGACATTTTTACATTTGATAAGTTGTACTTTTGGACAAGATTTGTCAGCAGCGTCCTCAGCGGCAGCGAGGTCTCGTGGATGCGGGACACTTAGAACGCACGGGCCACTAGTTGTACTCTGTAGAGCTACTTTATTCATCGTCCCTGCAGAAATGTAGTACAACCCTGCTCCGCCGATCGCCGCAGCCAGCAACGTGGCTTTTTTTCCGATTGTTCCGAGCCCCCACGTGGACATCTTGTTCCTGGGGGTGAGTGCTTCGGAGGGGGCTTCAACATCCTTAGATGAACCCCGCCGTGGTCCACGACTAGAAATAGATGCTGATGCAGTTTTGTTCTCCCCTGGAGCAGGTGGTGGCTGCAACGAAGAAGAAGAAGAAGAAGTGCCCGACGACGAGGACGCCAGGATCGGTTCGCCACTCTTTGATGATTTTCCCTCGCGATCGGAAGAGGGCCCCCCTCCGGGTGGTTTCCTGTGCGAGCGTCCTGTTGCTGAAGAGGGCATCAACCCAAAAGCCGCATTGATAGTACAGCTCCCGAAAAGACTGCCCGAGAGCAGTAGTAGACATCCGCATGTTACTAGGAGTCGGAACCGACGCGAGCCGGAACAAGAGGGTAAGTACAGCAACATCATCTTCACTTTCGATATTAGAATCGTCCAAAAAAAACAGGAGTTGATGATAGATACATCAGTTACAGATTGAAATGGAGGCTATCAAAAGATAAACAGGCCTCACAAAATTATACACAGCATACGGCTGCAGCTCTGTCGTTTTGTACTATGGTTTAGATGCAGGTCTTGTTTGCGCTTGTGCGAATTGACTTTCAGAGCGCGGAAATCGAAATCCTGACCAAACTTAGTGTGCTTCCTAGTAGCAGCCATGGCTTTCAACGTCGACGATCGAGATTTCTACATATTCCTTGCACATGATGAAGATCAACAATTGCGTATGCTTTTGCTCGGTGGCGTTGGATCCAGTCGAAAATCTGTTGGATCCATGCGAAATTCTCTTTCTTTCGTCATCACCGGACTTGTTTGAAGATGAAGAACCTTTTGGCGTTTACTCACTATGTGTAAATACCAGCATTTTTGCTCCGGTGGTAGATCTTCCTCAGAGAAGATCTTTCTTTTCTGCGCAAAGGCAGACCCGACAGAAGAACAACAAAGCCCGTAGGTACTTATCCGGAATAATTCCGCAAGCCTCAGATGCGTTGCATCTAAAAGAGATCTGCGCGAAGTGGTGTTTGGACAACTTCTTACTTTCTAATTCTACTCCTTTCTGATGAATCTAGCGCATGCATAAACTCCAAAAATTTTGCACGTGTTTCTTTTTTTTCTTTAATTGGAAAAATCTTCAACTGTAGTTACATGGAGAATTCTGCCTTGTCGCCCTCGCATCTCAACACAGACGGCGAGAGTGAGTATTTGTGTAGTTGTCAAATGGCTTTTCTATTCGACTCCGTATTGCAGTTCCTTCTCGTGTGGTGTGCTGAGTCAAAGTCTTATCGATACTCGGTGCAGCATACGATAGCATTAGCATCGTCTGCAGCGCAAAAAAAATCATCTTGTAGTGCTTGTCAAGTATGATACAGTGCGATCCGTCATGGTGGGTCTACTGCCACAACATACTTAAGCCTCAACTAAACGTAGACCATGACCACAACATCAACTTTACTGTAGTCGACCGTAGTAGGAAAATGGTGTACAACCTGGACGATACAACTTTTATTTAAAGTCGCTCGCAAGAGCTTCTTCCACCCCACAGCTTCTCACATTCTTCCTGAGGTAGAACTTCTTCGGGCCCGGGGAACGGAACTTGAACTTCCATTCCTTCAAGTTCTTCAAGGCCGATCATCTCCAAATCTTTTTCAACTTCATGCGGTCGCTGCGCCCACAGAAGATCTGAACCGTCTGATCTTGGCCCAAGGGTATAAGCCGGCTCACCGTCACTCGGAGGAACGAGCCCGAGTCCGAAGATTGGATCGATATGACGCTCTTTGAAGATCCTCCGCGCTTCGGCCACAGACCGACGATCCTCGGCACGACGACCATGGTTCTCTTCACGACGCGGCGGCGAGCAGGATCTGCGTCGTGCAGAGATTTGTTGTTGTTGCTTCTTCTCGATACGAGTCGCCTTCTTTTGCCTAAGTAGCAGGTCTTTTCCGTACGCCCTTCCCTGCTCTTTGCATTCCTCCATGAGTTCTTCTGCTTCTGCAGGTGTTAAAGTTTTATAGTCGTCATTGGCCCGCATCTGGTCTATCGCTCCCTGAAACAGCGGTGAGAATGCTTGCCAACGGGACACTTGCGACAGGGACAGAGGTTCGCCATCGTCATCAAGACGCCCTGGGATGATGTAGTCGGACGCAGTCACTATTTCATCGTGCTCCATCGCCTTACCAGGAGCTTGTCCCGCAGCCTCCTCAAGCATAGGTAAATCGAAAACCTCCTCAGTACGAGGAGGATCTGGTGCGAACCGGATCTTCTTCGGCGAGGCACCTGCGGCGAAAGACCACGTGGTTGTTTCAGTACCGGTAGTCGTAGTTGTGCCGTAAGAATAAAACTCGGTAGCCGCAAGGGACCAACAAACCACAGCGAGAAGCGAAGAGAGGGACCGGCGTCCCACAACTTCGAGCATAGAATGTGCAAAAGAAACCATCTTGGGAATGTTTTTGAAGAGAAGAACCTACTTGTTACTCGATGTCACTGCTGTCAGTACTTCTATTTGCTCTGCGAAAAACGTACTGTCTGAAAGTGAATGCAAAATCAAAAAAATGGTAAAGATGCAAAAAATTGATTCGATTGGACAAGGCTGGTACTGCGTATCTATGCTTTTAAAGCAAAAAGGGTTGCACAATTACTTGATGGCGGAAAGAATAGCAGCTACTTAATAACGTGATGTACGAAGTTCACGAGTATCGTGTTCAGCAGAGTATATGGCAGTGCAAGGACCTGAAGCTTCTTGAGAAAACATCATTTTTTCTGGTCGGCATGGTCAAAGACAACGCCAGGCTGCAATGGCATTTCGTGCAACCCATAAATTTTGATTTTTGAGGAGCACAGGAGGATCACATGGGATCAGATTTTCGATCGTAGCTTTTTCCATTTTTGATCTCCATTTTAAGCTTGCAAAGGGTATTTTTCTTCACCGAATTTCAAGCATTTAGATGAGCTGCGGATCATCGGATATGTTCCACAAGTTGGCCCAATGCGAACTCATATGTAATACATGATGAGGACGTCACGGGGCCACAACAATTCTTTTCTACCACGGAAAAATTCTGGCCGCGGCGGGTCGTGAGCAACTATATTGCGTTAGTCTTCCTTCGGCTTTATTTCATTTTCTGATTTGGTCTCCTCCGTGTACATGCTGGAAACTGACGTAAAATAGTGCGATTTTGATTTTCGTTGTATTTTTTGTCGAGGATAAAGTCTGTCAAAGTGGACTTTGCTGATGTTTCCTCCTTTGCTTTTACCACGACGGCCAAAAGAAATTACTTCTCGTTCTCACCTCATGATCATGATATAAGAATTTTTTAGGGTCGCACAGATTTTTTATTTTTGAAAAGTGGCAGCGTTATCCCCCTTCCTTCCAGCCAGTGCAAAGAACTTCACTCACAGCGAAATTATTTTTGTATATTGCATTTGAAGATTTTCTTTTTTTGTATCAATAAGTACGCACTAAAGTAGAAGCCTGGAGATGATGGGATTTTTTCCTTCTCCTCAATCTATCACCCAAGCTGCGATTGCGCAAAAGCGAATCTCACTTCTGTAGTATTTCGTGCTGATATCGTCAAATCAAGTTCGAGCTCTAAGAAGCGCGTGCGCAACGCTTCTTGCGTTTTCATCATCCGAAGAAGATGTGAAAAGGAACGACCAAATTGTCCTCGTGGTCCTCGTCGTAGTGCAATTCGATTCGTAAAAATCAAACAGAGTACTAAACTACAACTCTTCTCGTTCTCGGTACACCTGATTTTGTTTTTATCACTAGATTTACATTTAGATGAAATAAAACCTCGTCGCGGCGTACAACTGCGCCCATTGAGGACGCAGCTGTCCCGCGGTAAAAATTACTCCTTCCCCTGTCCTAGTATTCATTAGTCGACAAACTTGATACTGTTGTCGACCAATAAATCACCAGCACTCATGCGCATTCCCCGCTTGATCTGCGTGCACAATTCCAAAGTCGCGCTGATCCGCGCTTGGTCCCCACTAGCAAAGGCCACCCGCAGAAGCTCCGCGTTGTTTTTTTCTACTTCTAGCACCCTTTCCGTTCGGATGCGCCTCAGCTCTTCGTTGAAACAATGCAGCCGGCGTTCGAACAATTGCATGGCCTGTTCCCACACGTTGTGCTGACAGGCATACCCCCGCCGGTAAAACTCCAGCCAGGACTGCGCCATCGGCCCGTGGTACTGTTGCTGCTGCAGAAGCTCCTGCCCAGGCTGCACCACCTGGTGCAGCAGAGGCGGCTGCTGATCTTGCTGGTGAAGATGATCTGGGTGAAGGTTGTGCGGAGCTCCCTGCGAAGTAGAAGATCCGGAGGAAGCCGAAGCTGTAGTCCTAGTTGTCTTTGTCACACGTAAATCCAGCAGTTGCTGTTGCATGCACGACACCGCTGCAACAAGGGTAGTACCAGCCTGTTCAATATTTGCACCTGCCGGCGAAGTAGATGTCCCGGGCGCACTGCAGTCGCTCGTGCAAAATCTACTGTAGTCTTCGTGTGCAGCACCAGGCGTATTGGCGTCGGGTTCTGCAGCTTCTACTTCAGAGGCGTCTTTATCTTGTCCTGCCTTCTCCTGTTGTTCGGCAACTACATGATCATCCCGCACTTTAATCTTTTCCGCTTGTATGATCGGATACCGAATTTGCAGAAACCCGAGCAGCCCATTTTCCTCCCGCTCCTTCTCTTCCGCTTCTAAAATCTTCTCTCTCTTAACAAGAGGGTAAGTACCGCAACATCATCTTCACTTTCGATATTAGAATCGTCCAAAAAAAACAGGAGTTGATGATAGATACATCACTTACAGATTGAAATGGAGGCTATCAAAAGATAAAAAGGCCCCACAAAATCATACACAACATACGGCTGCAGCTCTGTCGTTTTGTACTATGTTTTCGATGCAAGTCTATGAGAGTGAAAAAGCGATTCAATTTGGGGCGATTCAAAAATTTCTATTTTTTTTGCTTTTTTTCAGTATTCCCAACGGTATGCTGCTGATTTTGTTGATCGTCTTTATTTGAAGCGTGACGGTTCACGTCGTCCGCAGAAAAGGTATGCAATTAAGTAGCTAGGCTGGTCCCACCTTGAACTAGATGCAAGAGGCACTGAAGATTATCGGACACCTTGCATCAAGCAGGCACTTTGTCTGGCGCATTATGATAAGAATTCAAGGAAGTGATGGGCGACCGCCGCCAACTTGTCCAGGGGCCCCTTGTATGGGACCCAGGTAACGGCTCAAAATAGGCGGACTCATCAAGAAGCTCTTTATCTAATCGCCTCCATCCACTTGCAGTCCTCATGTTATGCCTCTGTTTCTGTTGGCCATTTGTGTTTGAATTTGCTTGGCATCATGGAGCCCGCAGCAAATGAAATGGAAGAGGGTAGCTGAGCTGGTCGCGCCTTGAACTAGACGCAGCAAAGGTCACAAGCCCACCGAAAAGGATGCTCCAAAGGAGCGCGTTGGTCTACCTGCGTAGCAAACCAGCAGAGAGGGCAAAAGGCGCGAAAGGTAGAGCGCCACTACCTTGTCCAGGGGCGAGCCCCATGGGCACAGCCCGGCGGGGCGGAGCTGCTTGACCGTGGCAGACCTGGGCAAGGTACGTGGCCCGGCACTCGTGTGTGGCTTCTGATCAGGCGCAATAGTCGGCACGGCAGGGCGCCTGGTATTGGCCGGCCATTGCATTCCTTTGAACAAGTCACGACAAGGGGTGGGGGTGGCGCCCTCCACTGTCGTGACATTATGTTCCCAAGGAGGCGCGACTCTTGGCCCTTTGCCAGTTTAACAACTACAGCCCCTACTAGAGCTGCGGCGCGTGTGCCTTCGAAGGTTGGCCTTTCGGGGATACGGCTGCAGCTCTGTCGTTTCGTACTATGTTTTCGATGCAAGTCTCGCTCTTGCTTGCGCTTGTGCGGATTGACTTGCTTATCCTTTTTTAATGCTCATCAAAATATTTCAGAGCGCGGAAATCCTGAACAAACTTAGTATGCTTTCTAGTAGCAGCCATGGCTTTCAACGACGATCGAGACTTTTAATATTCCTTGCACATGATGAAGATCAACAGTAAGTTGTCTATGCTTTTGCTCGGTGACCTTGGATCCAGTCGAAAATCTCAATCTGCTGGATCCATGCGAAATTCTTTTTCTTTCGTCATCGCCGGACTTGTTTGAAGATGAACCTTTTGGCGACGTTTACTATGTGCAAGTGTGAGCATTTTAATTTTTGCTCCGGGTGTAAGTAGATCATCCTCAGAGAAGATCTTTCTTTTCTGCGCAGAGACACACGACCCGACAGAAGAACAACAAAGCCCGTAGGTACTTATCCGGAAGAATTCCGCAGGCCTCAGATGCGTTGCATCTAAAAGAGATCTGCGCGAAGTGGTGTTTGGACAACTTCTTACTTTCTAATTCTACTCCTTTCTGATGAATGATCTAGCGCATGTATAAACCCCAAAAACTTTGCACGTGTTTCTTTTTTTTCTTTAATTGGAAAAATCTTTAACTGTAGTTACATGGAAAAATCTGCCTCGTCGCCCTCGCATCTCAACTAGATAGACGGCGACAGTCGTGAGTATTTGTGTAGTCAAATGGCTTTTCTATTCGACTCCGTGTTGCAGTTCCTTCTCGTGTGGTGTGCTGCGTCAAAATCTCATCGATACGCGGTGCAGCATACGATAGCATTAGCATCGTCTGCAGTGCGAAAAAAATTTGTACGTGCTGGGCACGTTTGTCATACAGTATATGGACCAGTCATCTACTTACCTCCACAACACACTCAATAAGCCTCAACTAGATCACCCAGACCCCAACATCACCCTGTTACTGTGGTCGACCGTAGCAGGAAAATGGAGATGGTAGACCTGCTGTATACATTGGCTGACAAATGTCTCTTCCCCCCCACAGCATCTCACGACCTGCTTCCTCTGGAGGTAGAACTTCGGGACCAGTGGAAAACGGGACTTCCATTCCTTCAATATTTTGACGGAGCTCGATCATCTCAAAATCTTTTTCAACTTCATGCGCTTCTTCTCGGCCAGCATTTCTTGGCCCAAGGTCATAAGCCGGCTCACTGTCACTCGTCGGAACGAGCCCGAGTCCGAAGATTGAATCGATGTAATGCTTGTTTCCGGTCGAGGCCACAAAACGATCCTCGGCCGCGCGGTCCTCTACTTCACGACTCGGCAGGCCGTTTTTACGTACCGGACGTTGCGCCGGAGAATGGCTTCTGTCTCTTCCGCCACAAAAACGAGCCCAGTCAGTTTTTCTGGCCCGCATATTAGCTCCGAGCGAGAAGGAGCGGGCTGTAATCCTGCTAGGCAAGGACTTATCTATCACGGGAGTTCCTTCCTTATGAAAACCCGTAATACTGCAAACGTCCGCCATGGCCAACTTCACTTGCGGCTCCTCAAGATCCGGCATTTCTTCTAACTCCTTCAGCAAGTCTTCGCTTTGATCAGGAGCTTGTGCGCATCGGAGTCTTGGCGGCGCTGGGGTCTTCATCTTCTTCAGCGAGGCACCTGAGGCGAAAGACCACGTGCTTGTTGCGGTGCTACCGGTAGTTGTGCCGTAAGAATAAAACTCGGTAGCCGCAAGGGACCAACAAACCACAGCGAGAAGCGAAGAGAGGGACCGGCGTCCCAGAACTTCGAGCATAGAATGTGCAAAAGAAACGACCATCTTGGGAATGTTTTTGGAGAGAAGAACCTACTCGATGTTGCTGCTGGCAGAACTTCTATTTGCTCTGCGAAAAACGTACTGTGGTCTGTAAGTGAATGCTTGCAAAATCAAAAAAATGGTAAAAATACAAAAAATTGATTCGATTGGACAAGGCTGGTACTGCGTATCTATGCTTTTAAAGCAAAAAGGGTTGCACAATTACTTGATGGCGGACAAAATAGCAGCTACTTGTTAACAACGTCGACGAAGTTCACGAGTATCGTGTTCAGCAGAGAATATGGCAGTGCAAAAACCTGAATCTTCTTGAGAAAACATCTTTTTTTCTAGCCAACATGGTCAAAGACAACGCGGAGCTGCAAATGCAATGGCATTTCGTGCAGCCCATAAATTTTGATTTTTGAGGAGAACAGGAGGATCGCGTGGGATCAAATTTTGGATCGTAACCTTTTCGATTTTTGATCTACATTTTCAGGTTGCAATTTTTCTTCACCGAATTTCAACAATTGAGATGAGCTGCGGATCATCGGATATGTCCTACATACAAGTTGTTCCAATGCGAACTCTTTATCGAATACATGATGAGGACGTCAGCACGGGCCCACAACAATTTGATTTTTTTTCTACCACGTAAAAATTATGGCCGCAGGTCGCGAGCAACTATATCACGTAAGTCTTCAGTCTTATCTCATTTTCTGACTTGTTCTCCTCCATGTTGTTGTACCTGCCGTCAACTGACGTGAAAAAGTGCGAATTTCATTTTCGTTGTTTTTTTTGTCGAGGATGTAGTGGACTTTGTTGAAGATGCTTCCTCCTTTGCTTTTAGCACGACGGCCACAAGAAAATTACTTCTCACCTCATGATGATACAAGAATTTTTTAGAGTCGTACGGATTTTCTATTTTTCAAGAGTGGCAGCGTTAATATCCACCTTCCAGCCAGTGCAAAGAACTTCACTCACAGCGAAATTATTTTTGTACGTTGCATTTTGATTTTCTTTTTGTATCAATAAGTACGCACTAATGTATATAACGCGATCAACTGTTAAATCAAAAAATATTTTCAAATTTTTCTTTAAGTATCGGAAAGCGCGCGCGCAGAAGCCCACCAGAATCGGCGAGCAAAGAATCCGCACACAGCGCGCAGATCTTGAGCATTCAAACTGACTTATGCTAGAGTCGGGCGCCGAGTCGAGCCCTCGACCGGTCGCACAGTTGTGCTGCACGGGCCCGGGTAAAAAGGCCGCCGCACGGAGTCGCGTAGCCTTTGGGGCAATTTGCGCGGCTCCGGAAGCATGACGGTGAAGCGGGCGCGGAAAGCTATCATATCGGAGACTAGCTAGACGCCCGTCTTGTCTTGTCCACCAATTTGCCACGGCCTCTGAAGCTCGCCTGTCGCGGAAGACATGTTGGTTTTCTTAGTGAACCTCATGGCGCGCGGCCATTGTTGCAATGAAGGAACAGGCGCTGGCCAGCGGGATGGCGTTTTTGGGCGAAGCTTGTGTGCCCTTCGCTCAGATTTCGCGACTGTTATTTTCGGGCGGCAGGCTGCGTGGCGTTTCCACCATGCGCAGCTTGGGCCCTACAAGTCCGCCACAGTGTTGGCAGAAACCCGTGCGCCCGCCTTCAGGTCGGGGCTCCGGGGTTGGCCGTTCGCTTTGCTCCAGGAGTGGGGGGCGCTGACCTTGTCCTGCGGAAAGGTGAGAGCCGAAGTCTGGCCTTTCGAGGCGTTCCCGGAGGTCCCCAAGGGAGGTCCTCAAGGGACCTCTACGAGGAGGTCTCATACCATCGGGCGAAGATTTTCCGAACCATTCCACTTTTGGTCGGATTTAGGAGGTCCCTCGGGGAGGTCCCCCGGGGAGGTCCCGAAGCAGCACAAATCCAAAGCAATGCAGGTCGAATTGCCTCAGGGCAACAGGCATGCCGGGGCTGGCCTTGTGGATCCCCATCCTGGCTCCTCCGCCGCCAGTGGGGCAGCAAGGCTTTTGCGCCATGTTTCGACGCACTCCTCTATCCGCGGCGCGGGTGACGGCAGTCTTATGGTCGGCTTCGCGTCTGGTAATTTGGCAATGCCTCTGACGGCTTGTCTTCCCATCCCGCTGCGATCCAGGCTCTGCCCCCGTGCCAGGGCAGGAGCTCAAATGATCCGGGTCTAATAGGAAGGGAGCAGAGCCATGCCTTCGAGCGGGGTCTGGGCTTCTAAGGCCACACGGCTGCGGCGGCGCCACTCGCCTCGTGTCAGACAGCATCCAGCTGGGGTCGTGGCATGCCTTGCTGGAGGGCTTTTGCGGAGCTCTTGCGCTGTTGCCCCCCGAAGCCACTTCCCGACAGGCGATTTTTTTGGCCCTTGCGCTGCGATGGCCGGCGCGTACTCGCAATGAGCACGCAAGCGGCAACTAGAAACCGAGACGGCAGGGGCGACAGAAAAAGAGCACGACTCTTTTCAGGCAAAACATTCCAAGGCCGGTCGAGGTTGCGCGGCAACACACTTCTACACTTGAAAAAAAATTTGAAAACTTTTTTTGATTCAACAGTTGAACGCGTTATAATGTAGCCTGGAGATGATGGGATTTTTTCCTTCTCCTCAATCACCCAATTGCGCATCAAAAGTAAATCATCAAAATCTCATTTGTATAGTATTTCGTGCTGATATCCTCGTTATCGTCAAATGAACTTCGAGCTCAAAGAAGCGCGTGCGCAACGCTTCTGTTTCAGAGGACTTTTTCCGAACAAGGTGTGAAAAACAACGACCAACTTGTTCTCGTCCTCGTCGTAGTGCAATTCGATTCGTTTTCGTAATCAAACAGAGTACTAAAGTACAACTCTCTCGGTACACAAGATTTTGTTTTATTTTATCACTAGATTTAGATGAAATAAAACCTCGTCGCGTACAACTGCGCCCATTGAGGACGCAGCTGCCCCACGGCAAAAATTACTCCTTCGCCCTCCCCTGTCCTAGTATTCATTAGTCGACAAATTTCATACTTGTTTTGTCGACCAAATCACCAGCACTCATCCGCATTCCCCGCTTGATCTGCGTGCATAGTTCCAAAGTCGCACTGATCCGCGCGTGGTCCCCGCTGGCAAAGGCCACGCGCAAAAGCTCCGCGTTGTTTTTTTCTACTTCCAGCACCCTTTCCGTCCGAATGCGCTTCAGCTCTTCGTTGAAACAATGCAGCCGCCGTTCAAATAACTTCATGGCCTGTTCCCACACGTTTTGCTGACAGGTATACCCCCGCCGGTAAAACTCCAGCCAGGACTGCGCCATGGGCCCGTGGTATTGTTGCTGCTGCAGAAGCTCCTGCACTGGCTGCACCACCTGGTGCAGCAGAGGCGGCTGCTGATGTTGCTGGTGAAGATGATCTGGGTGAAGGTTGCTTTGCGCTCCCTGGGAAGTAGAAGATCCGGAGATGGAAGCCGCAGCTGCAGAAGTCCTCGTTGTCACACACAAAGCAAGTAGTTGCTGTTGCATGCACGACACCGATGCAACAAGGGTAGTACCAGCCTGTTCAACATTTCTTGCACCTCCTTCCGGCGAAGTAGATGTCCCGGGCGCAATGTAGTGGTCGCTCGTGCAAAATCTACTGTGGTCTTCGTGTGCAGCGCCTCCACCAGGCACATTGGCGTCGTGGTCTGCTTTTTCCGAGACGGCTTTATCTTGTCCTGCCTTCTCCTGTTGTTCGGCAACTACATGATCATCCCGCACTTTAATATTTTCCGCTTGTATAATCGGATACCGAATCTGCAGAAACCCGAGCAGCCCATTCTCCTGTCGCTCCTTCTCTTCTGCTTCTAAAATCTTCTCCCTCTTCACCGCCGCACGCTCGCCCATGATATTGTATCAAATGCAAATATGTTTGGTTCTGGAAGGATGCAGATTTTTGCCACGCTGTTTTTCCATGACACGGAAGGTCTGGCAAGCAAGGTTTAGCATTACAGGTTTTTTGAGAAGCTGCGACGAAGACGATGCCTCGGCCCGCATGACAAATCCCCTAGTTTTTCGGTGACAAAAATGGGCAGCTCTTGCTGTCTATGCATGAGAGATTTTTGTGTGCTGTGAGATGCGCGTCACAAGTTCCGTCTTTCCCGACCCAGACATTTTTGCAGTTGATATATTGACGAAAGCTTGCAAACTCGGCGAGCTGACGAAATTCTTCGCGGTGCAAGAGAATAATAAGCTTTCCAGAACTTTCGTCTCTCGTTGCATTGCCTCTTGAAATCTCTGGTCATGAGGATGCTGGCGCCCTTGTTCTTTGCAGCTGGGAAGCAGTTCCATGGCCGTCGTCGGAGGTTCTGGTCCTGTAGGAGAACACGAACAGGAAGATGTTGCTTCGGCAGAAGATAAACCAGCTGGATCATTTATTGTACAACCGTTGGAGCGGCCCCCGGGGGCCCCCTGCTCTGCATGGCCGCTAGCTCCTGTCATGCTTTCAAGCTGCTCCACAAACCTGGTGATCCTTTTGCAGTCCTCTTCCGACGCCCCGGCATGGTGCTGTTGCAGTTTCTTGCAGAAGGATAACTGCTCAGCAGTCAGGCCTACGACGAATTGTGGACGCGGACACAAGGGCTGCAGCATCTGTTTATTTTCTCGGTGGTCGAGTTTTTCTGGATCGTCGTGCTCTCGCCGTGCCGTCGGGGAAGTGAGATCTTTGGTACTACTACAACTACTATCCCGTGGGTAGTTCTCCTTGATAAACTCATCGATCGGGGAACTGAACCCCCCCTCGGCAGTTCGGACGCGCCGACAACTTTCTTCCTATCAAGTGTAAAAGTGTCTGGGTCTGGAAGAGTGCGCGATTTGTCATGCAGATTTTCCATGACCCATGAGGTCTGGAATGCAGGACCTAGCATGACAGATTCAGATTCTGCGCGATCTCTCTCATGCCTATCCTGCATGAGAAACTCCCTCCCGAATTGGTCAAAACTGGACGACTTTTGGTAATCATGCAACACAGATTTTTGCATGCTTCAGATTTCGCATGACAAGTTGCATTTTTCCAGACCCAGACATTTTTACACTTGATACTTCCACATGCCTCTCCAATTCAGCGGCGATCAACCCGTCAATTGCAGCGCAGGTGTATGAACTGCAAAGTGTCGTCCTATCGTACTCGTATAAATGCATGGCAAATTCCCTCAGCATGAGAAATAAAATTTGTAATGCGTATTTACCTTGAGAAAAAAACTTGTAGTGCATGACTGCAATACGAGTACGATACTTTTGCACAGGATAAGGCGCACCGGAGCCAGGACTCTTGCACCGGGTTTTCTGGGCAGCGGAGGGGGAGGTCGTCCTGAAGTAGAAGACCACAGGTCGTGGTTTGTTCACCTTGCAGATGAGGCTGATGGTCTTCATCTTCATCTTGCGACAGATTTTGTTGCTCATCCGCGCCAGCAGCTTTATTACCTCCAGGCGTCGTCCGAGATGTGCTCCTTGACTTCAACTCCGCAGACTTAAAGCAGTATCCAATCATACTCTTCACGTGCTCAGGCACGTCGTCTTCCGTCACCCATTGCATAAAATCATCACAGTCCACTTGTTTTTCGTCGCGTTGCAAGAAAGAACCATGATCCGCGGCCGTGACCTGGTGGTTTCTGTCCGTGTGCTCCTGTCGTGGCTCCTGTAGGACCTGCTCCGTCATCAATTTATTAGCCTCGCCTACTTTTCTTGAAGAAAGGGGCGCAGCTGTTGTGCTGTTGCTAGGCCGATCCTCCGGTTGTCGTCTAGGGGCCCCCGCGGGTTGTTGTACGCCAGGAGGGGCTATGAAATGCAAAAGTGTCTGGGTCTGGAAGCTTGTAATGCTAAAAGTGAATGATAAACGCACTGCAATACGCAGCTATGGTACATGACAAATTTTTTGGCTGCGATGTATTACGTATCATCATCATCATGTAGTGGACACCCTCTCCCAGCGCCACAGGTCAAGGATCCCCTCCCCGGGGGGTGGGCGAGGAAGCGCTTTCGGCAACCTCATCATACATTACGTATTCCGCATGGCAAGCTGCGTTTTTGCATGACAGGTAAGAGAGCCTTTTTTACGTGGCTATGCAACACAGGAGATTCTCGAGTCATGCCAGACAAGCATGACAAACTTGCATTCTTCCAGACCCAAACATTTTTGCATTTGATAGGGGCTCCTGCAGCTCCACATCCTTGTCCTTCAACCGCCTCCTTCAAAAGTTGCGTTCCTTCATCGGCCAGTTTGCAAACCAGCGTGTTCAGCGCCAGTACGTCGTGGCGGTCGCTTTTGATCCCTTTATTTTTTCCGAGTTCTGGAGGTACAAGCCTCGGCATCTTGATCTTCTCCTCGTCCTCTCGTTCTTCAGTGGGACGAGGAAGAACAATCTGCGCATGTTGATTCCAAATCTCTTCAAACCGGCCGGGTCTGAGGTGCACAGTTCTCCAGGCGTCTTCCGGCATGTGTTTCAGTAAGACCGCTGCAACCTTGTCAATGCACGCGGCTCGGGATAATTGTGATGATGCACTATCAAAAACCTCGTGCGAAGCTGCTGCTGCAGAAAGAAAAGAAGACGAGGATGAGGAAGAGGTCGAAGCTCCTGCACTCGGGAAAACAGAAGGAACATCAACGAGAAGCCCAACGTTCTTGCCGTTTCTGCAGCTTGCTGCGTTTTTTTCTTGTTCACCAGCATCGGCGTTCGGAGAACAAGTTGCACTTCTAGAGCTGCATTTATTCTTCAGCGAAAAACTGTCGACAAGCAGCGTCGCGAAGTGCTTAGCTAAGACTGTGCTGTAATGTTGATCGTCGTGCTGCAGGTCATGATAACGTTTTGGTTTTTCGCCTGCATCTTCCACCCCAGTCCCAAATATCATCTCCGCGACCTCTTTCTGCCCGTCGGGAGAAGCTTGAACTTGGTCAACATGGTCGCAACGGGCTTGTTGCACAGGGGCACATCCTTCGGGGCGGTCAGCACCCACCTTCTGCTCTACTTCTATCATGGCCGAACTGACACTAGTTCTGCCTGTCGTGACCGCGTGCGCATCAGGATCATGCTCGCAAGGTCTTGTTGAAGCCTGCTCGATAGCCGTGAAGATCTTCGCCGGCTCTTGAAGCGCCGGCGTGCCGTCCTGCACAAAAACATCGTGGTCCCCGTGCGTCGAAATGTGAGCTGCACCAGTAGTACTACTTCTACGCTCATGTGTACTAGTAGTGCCGTCACGACCCCTCGCTGTACTAGTCATTTCACGAGAGGACCTCCCACTGTGGTGGTCTACAACTACGGGGCTGCTGCAGCCCCCGTAATGCTGTGCCATCCTGAGTTCTCTCGCCCGAGCAATGGTGCCCGGCAGTGGAGTATCCAAAAACAAAACTGTGTTTAGTGTAACCTTCTTTGGCTGACAGCACCACAGATTTCCTCTCCATGATAGAGACAAGCTGTAATGCGTGGCTTGTAAGGGAAAACACACATGGAAAGAGGACTTCATGGCTGTCTGGCATGACAGGGGTAACTCTCTTCCTCTTGCATGTTCTGCAACACAGAGTTACACTTACCCAGTTTTTTTCTTGCATATGGAGTTTTCGAGGCCACTTCCACGTATTCGTTTGTGGAGGAATACACACGAAGCTGCGGTGGAGATGATGAACCTGCAGGCTGTGCTTGTTGTTGCCACGACTGGGATATCATATGTAAAAACATCCCCACCCCATAGTCAAGTTGGGAACTTAGCAACACAAATGCAGAAGCTTTGGGAGCCACGCATGACAAGTTGCAGTCCGCTTTGTAGTGCATGTTAACAAGGACGTCCGCATCACAAATCCATCTGCTTATCCTGTTTGCAGCATTACAAATGCCAAAACACGATTGGATATGCCTGGCATGGGGAAGCGCATTACAAGCGTTCCTGTCATTGCAAATCTGCATGGGGACGTTTTTACACAGGATATGGGACTGCGTTTGATGTTCTCTACTACTTCCGCCCTTGTTCTTTGGGCGACGCTGTTTATTTCCACGTTTGCCCCCGCGATTAGTACCACGTGCGTACAAGTTTGATGTTGTTGTTTCAGTTTCCGCGGCGCCGGACGTTGCGTCAGTGATGTAGTGGTCCACGGCCGGTGGTACTTCTACGGGTCGTTCATTGTGCTGATAATACGTGGTTCCCCCGAGAACAAAACTTGTGGTCCTCGCCATTGATGAAGAAGAGCTGGAGGCCGCAGTACCGCCTGCGGCAAGAACATCAACCCCATGTAGTTCTTGCGGCCGCATTGCTTGGTCCGGCGTGCTGTGATCCATCTTGGGTGGAATAAAACCTCCACCTACTTGCTGTCGGCCGCACGTATGATTTTCGTTATTGTGAGGATGTTCTTGCCCCCCACCTCTGGTGGCTTTTCCTGCACCTTGTGGCCCCCGCTGTGGTCCACGACCTGGGACGGAGCGAGCAGCTGCGGGGCGTTGGTGCGGCTGCAAGTTCTTCGGCCGCGACAAGTAGTCCCCATTATCCTCTTTGATGTTAATCGACCACAAACTGCACGGATCATCTGCAGCTTCCTGCCCGGTCATTTCCCGGCGGGCGCGTAGTTCGTCGTACAGCTTTCCCTTATGAAGTGCAAAAGTGTCTGGGTCTGGAAACTTGTGATGCTAAAATGTGCATGATGAAAACACTTCCGAATGCAGTCCGGCATGACAACTTCCCAAAACGCTTTCTCATAGGCAATCCGCATGAGAAACTGCGTTTTTGCATGACAAAAGAGGCTGCGACTTTTGTTGGTTATGCGAATACAGATTTTCTAGGTATGGAAAGCTAGCATTACATACCAGTTCCAACCTTCCAGACCCAGATATTTTCACAATCGATATCCCTGCTGGTGCATCGACAGCTGGTTCCAGTACTCCCTTTGTTGCTGGTTCAGAAACGATTGCTGCTGCCGATTGTGTATTTCCTGCGCAGCATATGAGAGTGCACAACTCCCCGTCCCCCTCATTATTTGTCATGCAAAAACGCAAATCCAGGCTGTGCTTGTTGGCACTGTTGGCATGACAAACTCCGGAAGCCCAAACAGTATTACACTCCAGTGTAAATTTGTCATGCAAAAACGGCATTCTTGCTGATGCTTGTATTGCCGTTTATGCTATACAGTTGAGGGGGAGGGGGTGGAGTTCGAATTGTGCATTGTCATACAGCACGGATTGCCTGCGTCTCTTGGACTTGTCCCTGCAATTTCTGGGCCTTGAGCAGCAATTGCTGTTCCTGGAGTAATATCATCTGCAAATATGTCTGGGTCTGGAAGAATGCTAGTTTGTCATGCTTGTCTGGCATGACTCGAGAATCTGCGTTACATAGGGACGAAAAGGCCCTCTTACCACCTGTCATGCAAAACGCAGCTTGCCATGCCGAAACACATCATGGCAGCCAAAAAATTCGTCATGCATAGCTGCGTTTTGCAGTGCGTCACGTCTATCATTCACTTTTAGCATTACAAATTTCCAGACCGCCCAGACATATTTGCAATCCATAAGTAAATGCTCTCTTCGAATCCGCTCGAGCTCCAACTGTCGGGCCAAGAAAGTGTCGTGGTGGGTCCGTCCGCCTGGACGAGCTTGGGTTTGCGAGGACCGCGGCACCGCCGCTGGATCTTCTGCTGTGCTTGCTGCAGCCCCAGCAGCTCGAAGAACTTCCGCTTGATGTCCTCGTGTACTATCGCTGTCACCTTGCGCGGCTGAAGTAACATCTGGTTCTGTAGTCGATGCACCAGCAGCTTCCGGTACAACTTCCTGTGTAGTATTGCAGTTCACGACCCCTGCTGGCCGAGATGGTGACAACTGGGGCGCCTCCACTGGAAGATTTCCTGTGCTTGGTGCACCAGCAGCTCCCGCTTGTCGTGTACTATCACTGTCACCTTGTTTCGCCGAGGTAGTTCCACTTCCTCCGCCGTTCGTGCCGTCAACTTCTACTGCCGGTGGTGGATCATGATGTCGCAAAGTGTTTGTTTTTCTTGGACCAGCATTTTTCATCGACCCTGCACTGCCAGTGCTAGAGGTAGTTCCGGCCTCCTCGACCCACGTCACCTGCCGGACGACGGCGTGGTCTTGGTGCACTTCCATTTTTGGCCCCCGCTGGTGCTCCTGCGACGGAGCAGCAGTAGGAAGTACTAAAGCTGCGGCCACTTGATCGTGGACTTTGTCTTCACCACCATCGGCGATCATACCAAGTGTTCCTCCTGTCGCCACGAACGGCATTGGAGTGCTGGACGATGCGTTGCTTGTTCCCGGAATAACCGAGGAGCCGTAAAAATAGCAGGTCTGGAAAGCAGGCGCAGCTAGTTGCACAACTTCGACTTCCCCCGCCGCCGCGGAAGTAGCTTGGTCGTTCGTCGTGGTGGTCTCCTGCCTTGTCCTCCGATCGGTGTAGCAAGAGGACCGTGACATCATTTGCAGAGCGCCAGCCTTTGCATCAGGTTGTTCCTCGAATAAAGTTGTAGAACTGCGGGTGCAGGGGGCTAAAGTTGTAGAAGCCTGATCCGGCGCTCCTGATGAAGACGAGCGGTCTACGCCGGACGAGGACAGCGCTTGTAGCAATCTGTTCGTATTTTCCAACACAGCAGTAGTGTTACTAGCTATGCCGCGCCCCAGAAGATCGTGTTCGTTGCGGATTGCCTTGCGCCACCCCGGAACCACGTTCAAGCCCCCGCCTTGTTGGTCACGAAATTGATAGAAGTGGTCCTCATATTTTTTGTCCTTTTCTCGTTGCGGCAAAGCCAAAGTTGTTGAAAATGCATGTTGCGACATTTCGATTTCCTTCCCACCTACTTCATCATGTAGTGAAAACAGCCCAGGGTTCCTCGGAGCTAGCGCTTTTTGGGCTTGCGCCTGAGGGAAAACAGACGGAGAGCATGCGGAATGATCAACAGAAGTAGACGCCCCCGCGCCGCGCAAAAGGTTTCCTGCATGATCTCCCGTAGTACTGTGAGGACCGGCTTCATTCTGCGGACCTTGGGTGTTTTGTTGCGGCACGACTGGCAGAACATCATTGAAACTTCCCGTCGGGAAGAACGGATAAGAACGAGGCATCGCATTTGCAGCTGTTCCCCCGTCTGAAGACGATGTTCCCGCCCCGGATAAAGCCACGCCAGCAGTTGCACCATCCGTCCCCGCATTTTGCGCTACAGTTCGCGGAAACACGAAGCCCCCGACACTGCGGCCCGGTGCGGTGGACGTGTTTGGAAGGGAATCCACAGTCGTCGTGATATTTTTCAACGCTGGTGCGAGAACCTGCGGCATGGGTCGTGATTTCGACGTTTTGTCGTGCGTCGGGTCGTGAAGAAAAGGCTGCGGCGGGATCAGGTGCTGGTGTCCAACTCCCGCTGGATGTCCCAGCTCCAGTGTTGCGAAAGTCGAGCCTGCAGTTGTTGTCGTGCCACCTCCTGTATTTATTAGTGTGTTCGGAGAAGAAGCGGCGAATGGAGACGGACTGTAGCTGTACATTGGCACCATACTGGAATAAGCCGCCGACGTCGACCCACCAATTTTATCTATGCAGAAATTTGAATCAAGGTGAACAAATACCTAATAGCTGGAGCCCGTGCATGGCTCTTGGTGTTGTACGATATTTTCACGCATGACAGAAGATCATCTTCGCTCACTTCTCTTGATTCATCAAAAGCATCTACTTCTAGTTTTCCCCTTCGATAGAAAACTACTCCGTAGTCCTGACTATATTCAATCGCGGGCGCCAGACGAGCGAGGTGATGAAGCGAAGGCGCGGGGGCAGCTCCAGAAGGTGTTCGTTGTTCTACAGTCTCCTGCTGCGGAGTTGCGTTTTGATTTTGAACATACGCAACTGCAGCTTCATAAGTCCTTGCATTTACCTCCGCCGGCAAGGGTGGTGGCGGGGGCGGCCGACCAGTAAATAAAGCAACGGGCGTAGTGCCACGTTGTGCATGGTTTTGATTTAGTTGTTCCACGCCGCCACCGCGCGACGGTAGCTGTTGGGCTCCGGTTGAAAATCCTCGTGTAGTTTGATACAACTCCGACGTCGTGCCGGTCATCAGTCCGGAGGCACCAGTTGGGGCTGCACCAGGGACGACTTGCTGAAAAGGTTGATGACGACCCCCCGCTGCTTGTCCTCCAGAATGAAGACCAGTCGTGTGTTGCAGCATTAAAGCAACGGGCGTGGCACCGCGTTGTGAATAATTTTGATGTAGTTGCTCCAGGCTGCCGCCATGCGCCGGCAGCTGTTGGGCTCCAGTTGTAGTTCCTCGTGTAGTTTGATAGTCCGACGTCGTGCCGGTCATCATTCCGGAGTGTGGCGTTCTCAAACGTTACATTCTCAGCTGTTACATAAATTTGTCATGCAAAAGCACCTTGAGCCGGCAGATGATCGAGCTGCTTCGCATGACAAATTTCGGAAGGGCTAGACAGCATGTAAATCTGCGCCAAACTCGTAATGCAAAAGGCGCAACCTTCCTCCTTTCACTTTTGCCAGTCTTGTATTGCAAATTTATGTAACAGTTGAGAATGTGACATTTGAGAACTCCATACGGAGGCAGTTGGGGCTGCACCAGGGACGACTTGCCCAGCTTGCTGAAAAGGTTGATGACGAGGACCCCCCGCTGCTTGTCCTCCAGAATGAAGACCAGTCGTGTGTTGCAGCACTGACGGCGACGCCATCTGCTGCTGCTGGTGCTGCTGTTGCCAAGCGGCCTGTTGTTGCCCTTGCCCCACGGAAGACTGATCATGCTCTACTTGTTGCCAGGCCACTTGCGGAAGATGTTGCCACGATGCTGGTCCTGCTTCTGTCGTGCCCAAATTCCGGAGATTCTGGGGCTGAGAGCCGCGTGGCAGCTGTGCCGCGAAGACTACTACACCTGTCCCCGCATGAAAATGAAGAAATACGTAGTCGGGATATTGAAATAAAGATAGAAAGAGTACAAGTAGAATCATGGTAGGAGACAGCGATGAAATTCTTTGAACTACGTGCTCGATCGGCATAGAAAAACAACAGGTGGAGTTCGCCATGATCGACGTCGCAGGTAGTGTCTTTCTTTTTACGGGCGACATTTTTTTGTCTGCTTCGCTGTTATAGTTATTCTTATTTCTGAAAACGCATGAAGAAATAGATTACAATAATAGGTTTTTTTACGATGAGCCAACATAGAGCACGAACAGGCCCTTGCGTGTGTGCTCTCTAGTGGGCTAAGCGTGGTCGTACTTCAACAGCAGCGATGTGCAGTGCTGATGTGGTCTGAAATTCTAGCAATAAATATTCGAATAGAAAGGAATCTCGCTAGTACGAGTAGATGACTATAGGGTAAAAAGGTTTCTAGACGATGGCATTAGGCCATAAGTGCCAATTTCGCTTTTTGTCAATCGACCTGCAACAGATGAAAATTCAAACGTGCAACAACAGTTCTAAAGCGGACACATCTCCGAACGGCGTGTAATTGTGAATACATTGCCAATACTGCAGCTCTGCGAGGGTATTACTTCTGCTGCCGCCTTTTTTCCAAGAAAAACTACGAGACCACAAAAGGAACGTCTCACAAAGTCACCGCGCAATGCCCTCTTACACCACATCTATCTAAATCCAATACGCTAGATCAGTTGTCTTCATTGTTCCTCAGTGATGAAATCCGGTTTTTTAATGCGACGTCTTGGTTTTGCTGATGGAAGCATGTGCTGCTTCATCAACATCATGTTTGATTGTAGCAGTAAATAATTAGATCTCGTCGTGATGTGGTCGGAGGACGACCTCTTTCGGGCTACTAGCAAGAAGTGGTCTTCATTGGGAGTAGTAGATCTCTTTCGACGTTCTTGAACAGGTAAACGAGTACAGAAACAACAGCTATCCTGGTCCTCCTCCTCCTGGTGTGCTCATTCCTCAGATCCCTAAGAATTTTGAAACCACCACGTTTAGTCAAGATCCCGCGGCTCATCGATGTCAATATCCTATGTGTACTTCTATCAAGAAGAGCTGCTTGAGGAGCAGCAAGAACCATTTAAGAGTAGATCTGCGACTAACAACTGGATGATCCGCACGTGAATAAACTAACATAAAGGAGGGCGTCAAAAAAACTTTCGAAATCTACCAGACTTCTGGTAAAGCGGGACCTCTAGTCACTTCCTCGTTCCTCGAAATCAAATACAATTACGAACACCAAGTCTACTTACTTTCGAAACGACGGCAATACACCGTTGATAACCAGGCTCAGTTTCGAAAGCCAGAGGATTTGTTCCTGCTCGTCCTACCTGAGTTAGCAGGATTTACATATTTCTCTTGTAGCGTTTGCGTTTCCACCAGTGCTTCACCAGAAGAGTGGTACATGAGAACGCGTTTTCCTCAGTGCTTCAAAAGTCTACTTCGGCTGAACTTCTTTCCTCCTGCATTTAGGTGCCCAGATTTTTACTTATCGCGCATGTGCCAGGCTTCTTCGTTTTCCGCGTCGCGATTTTATTCGCGTGCGGATTCCGTTTCGTGCAAATATTCAAACGCGTGGCGGGCCTTCATCATATGGCTCGCGCCCGCTCGTGCTTTGCATTGAGTTCTAGAACTCTCCAAAATGCCTGCCAGCCTCTTGCTGGGCCCTCTATATGAGTAGCGCTGTAGCGCTACAAGTAAAAACTATACGCATTTTTTTCATTTACTTACAATTGCATGTCGCAAGTAAAAATTATACATGTCGCGTTATTGTGTTAAGGTCGCTTTATTGTGTTTAGTCCTTTTCTGAAGTAGCGCAAACAGCGCGAGAAGAAAACACAGCTCTCAACCGGAACTTCCCGGCGCCAATTAACATCCTGATGAATCGTACAAGGATACTACTACTTCCAAGCCCCAAAATTTCACATTTAAAAAATATGTTTGTTGACCAAAACAAGAAGCATAAAATCTTTTCTGATTTTGCATGCAAAGGAATTTTTGCATGAACAAAACAGAAACCTTTTAGACTTTGAGATGGGCCTAAAAGGAGGCCTCGCTCAGCATGAAATCTAACAAGCAAAAATTATACACATTTCTTTCTTATGTCGTGTTATTGTCTTTCGCCACAATGTACTCTTCTGAAGTAGCGCAAACATCGCGAGAAGGAAACACAGCTTTCAACCCCGACGCCCATTAACAAAAAAAAGAACAAATCGGGATCGTAATAGGATACTGCTACTTTCATCCAAGCACCAAATAAATGTCGCATTTTTAAAAATAATAAATGAGAATCGTCGACCACGGTCATGATCTTCTTGTGTATCTATAGTATTGGAAATTCCAATTAGACTTTGAATAATAGACGAACACAGCTTTGTTCGTCTCCGCATTCTTTCACACAATGGGCCACATTCGCTACTTACTGCGTGCGCTCCCTCAGGCAGCTATTCCGCTCTCGTATGCGGTTCCGGTCCATCTCCTCCCTAGGCTGTGGTCCTCCCGCCGGCGCCGCGTAACACGCGTCAGCTGGGATGTGCTGGTAGACGCCGGCGGCAATGTCTTCCTCTAGCACGGCTATCTCGATCTCTTCTTTCTGTCCAGAGGAGAGGAGGTCTGTGAATGATTGGCCCATCATCGAGGCTGTGAAAGCTATGTCCTCCATGATGCCACTAATCAGGTCGTACGCAACCGGCTCATCCGCCATCGGGCCCGTTGGGACCGCGTCCGGAGCCCATTGGTCCCAGGGATAGAGCTCGTCACCATAGGCTGTACAGGATCGGCCCGCATTATTCGGATCGCGGCGACTGTGGCGCAGGTGATAAAACAAATTCTTGATGTGGGCGCCCGTGCCACCCCATTGGTTTGGTAAATTCCTCACAGCGTAAAGGCTTCGTACGGTCTGTGGTCGCGGCTGCAAAGCAGGTGCAGCCGGGAGGTGTGTTGGCGCTGTTCTTGTCACCTCGAACTGAAGTTCTTCGTGCAGAAGCCTGCTGTCTCGTCGTCCTCCGCTCGTGTGGTCATTGAGGGCCGCCAAGGAGCTGTCATCCCGCCCGCCAAAGTTTTTCTGCGCAGACCGCATGTACAACAGGGTTTTGTAATCTACCAGGGACACTTCATACCGCACTTGTTGTACAAGGGGAGCCGCGGCAGGTGGAGCAGCCGGGGGCTGCGACGGGTCTTCTACTTCCAGAAGCTCAAAGTGCACCAACATGTTCAAGCCGTGCAGGTCGAGGTATAAAAAACCCGACCGGTCCAGTGTCCGCAAGTTTCGCACCAGCTCCGCGTACAGCCCCTGCACAAAGTCGGTAGAAGTCGACGTACTATCCGTATAGAGGGCCTGCAGGGCGTCGTCAAAATCTGCGGCAATAGAGGCTGGTGTCCTAGTTGTAGTTGTGTTCGCTGGTCGTCGTATCCTGAGTAAAAACGTACCCACACCAGAGTTCAGTTGTAATGCAGATTTGCAAAGACAGGAAGACTTGTAATGCACATCCGCATGAGAGCCATTTCCAGTCAGATGAATTTGTGATGCGGCTGCACTTGCTAACCTGCACTACACTGCAGAGTGCCACTTTTCATGCGTGACTCACAAAACTCCTAGGTTTGTGTTGCAAAATCCCCATCCTGACTCTGGTGTGGGTACGTTTTTACTCAGGATACGTCGTGGTCGGCCAGCTGCTCCTGGCGCTCCTGCCCCCCGCCGCTGCAGAAATGTAGTTGTGGTGTGGCCTGCTTCTTGTCGGGCACTCTTGACGGCCCGCAACACGTCGCTCAAGGGCATCGACCGCCGAGCCAGAACGGAGCTTGTTCGTGGTCCAGGTGCGGTCGGCGGCTTCGGGGTGGACAACTCGTCGTCATCAGCCTTTGCCATTATCGTCAAAAAGCCACAGCCGGTCTCTTTGCCGGGCTCACCGATTACGGAGAGGATGGTCGGAGCGGGAACGGGTCGCATCCTAAGAAATCGTCTCATGCGCTCGCCTTCAACTACACCTCCCTGCACGCCACCAGCCTCCTTTTCTAGGCTTGGGAATGCGGGGAGCGAGGTCATACCCAGCGCAACCCTGTGGCACACATCTGAAATTTTTTCAGCGTTGTGCAGAAAACCCTTGGCGAGGTCGACGTTGCGAAAGTCGAGCTCGTCAAATTTCAGGAAAATTGGGACCGTACTCGCACTAGTCCTCGCGCCGGGGAGCGTGAGCTCTGCGTCCGCCCAGCCCACGCGCTGGGAACGAATGGGAGAGAACTGATCCAGATTCAGGCGCCGGACATAGGAGGGCCGCAGTCTTCGGCTTTTCACGATGTACTTGCCCGACCGGTACGCGGGTACACCCGGATAGCGTCCATCGTAAAACGCGCCTGCAGGAAGGTCGAGCTCAATGGTGAAGCCATCGACGTCTCCTGCGCCGTTATTATTTCCAGGAGCGCCAGCATTCTTCTTCATGTCGACGGACACATAGGTGGAAGTCGAGTTGGAGGAATTTGGGGCGTTCGTGGTCGTAGCAGTTGCTCGTCCGCCTCGTTGCGTCCTCGTCCACTGCCTGCACTCCACCACGTCCGGCGACTGGCACAGCGCGTTCAGCCCCGCATGCTGGATCACGAGCTGTGACTCTGCAAATAACGGGGGTACTGGCCGCGGCGGTGGTGCAGGTTGGGGGCCGGGTGTTGGCTGCGGCGGTGGAGGTGGTGCAGCTTGGGCCTGGCCACTACGAACAACACAGCCCTCGGCCCGCTCGTCATTGGTGCGGTTTTTGCCGCCACTGTTGACGTACGAAACCCAATCCTGGCGGCTGCGCGGGATCTGGGCGAACCGCGAAAACTGGTCTTCCAGTTTGCGCCCAAACAAAGCCAGTCGCGCATCGGAATTGTAGGTGGCGAAAGAAGCGAAAACTTTCGCAAGGTCCTCAACGTCCCAGAAGGTGTCCGGCTTCACCTCGGTGCGTAGTTTCACCAGATTCGCCTCGTACAAGGGGTAATTCGAAAGCAAGTGCTGGACTGCAGTGGCAATGGTTCGGCTTTCTTTTGGTCGCCGGAAAAAAGTGGGGTCTCATCCTGAGTAAAAACGTACCCACACCAGAGTCAGGATGGGGATTTTGCAACACAAACTTAGGAGTTTTGTGAGTCACGCATGACAAGTTGCACACTGCAGTGTAGTGCAGGTTAGCAACTGCAGCCGCGTCACAGATTCATCTGCTCATCCTGTTCACAGCATCACAAATTCCAAAACACGATTGGAAATGGCTCTCATGGGGATGCGCATTACAAGTCTTCCTGTCTTTGCAAATCTGCATTACAACTCTGGTGTGGGGACGTTTTTACTCAGGATAGGTCTGTGAATCGGTTCAGCACGTCCGAGGAAGGGTCGTAGTTGGCTGTTCCATTATACGACCTTGGGTTAGTATCG